GGGGCTCGTGGGGAGCCAGATCGACAAACCCACAGACTAGGTCGCGAGCCGGAAAAAAAAAATATTTTTTTTTAATTTTTATTATTATTTATATTAATTTTTAAATATTTTATATATAAATTGTATTTTTATTAGATATTTAGTTTATTTTGTTTAAAATTTTTAAAATTTTATTATATTTATAATATTTTTAAGTATTTATAATATTTTTTTAATATTTAAATTTTATTTTTTAAAATTAAATATTTGGCTCGCGACTTAAAATGATCTGGGTTGGGCAGTTATTTTTTCACTCAATAAAAAAACGGGTCGGATTGAATTGGGCTAATATATTTCCAGATCGGAACGACCCGAACTGGGTCGGGTTGGATCGGGTCGGGTCAACCCATTTTACACCCCCAGTTTCTCGTAAGAGTAGTATTTAAACCCGAGGTATTCGAGTTTACTGGTACTAAGTCTCAAGCGAGGAATTCGGACCGCGGGTTCGGTTTCGGTTTTTTTCCTCCCACATATGGGTTACCCGCAAGTACTGGGTATATATCCCTGGTAATTTTAGTATATTTACTCAGGTATATTTTTCAAGTGAATTTACAATTATACCCCTAAAATCGACTCGGGTCAACCAAAGTTTGCAAATTTCGGCAGGTTTAGCAATTCATGAACGTACCGATTTTCGGTATTTTGATGAATCTTTCGTTTTTTGGCAGATCATAAATGTGTACAACCAAGAGTACGAGAGCGGGGCGGCGTATTGGCCGGACGTCCATGGACGTATAATAACGGCTTTAATCATATCGCAGATACTTCTGATGGGATTAATGAGCACTAAAAAAGCCGCTCAGTCCACGCCCTTCCTCATCGCTCTACCCATCCTCACCCTTGGTTTCCACCGGTTCTGCAAAGGCCGGTATGAACCGGCTTTCATTCGGTACCCTTTGCAGGTCAGTTCCAAAATTCTCCCTTTTCGCACCGGGTTTGTTAACCGGAGCGGTATTTCATCTTCAACAAGCCTTGGCGCACCCTTTGGTTATGTTAACCGGGACTAGTTTTGGTTATGAGTACATTGGACTAACCGATCTTAGCTTATAAAACCGGTTCCCTTGGTATCCTTTGGTTAGGGGAAATATATTTGGTTTCGGTTAGTTGCTAATCGTGGAAAACACGTTATTTGTACAGGAAGCAATGATCAAAGACACATTGGAACGGGCAAGAGAACCGAACCTAGATTTGAAACCGTATCTTCAAAAGGCCTATATTCATCCGGTTTTCAAAGACGAAGGCGAAGATCGGTTCGATGATATGCTCGAGAAATCGGAGGATGACAAATGTTTGATCGTGCCGACCAAACGTCAGTCCCGGAGAACCACACCGGCGGTCAGCAATGCCAGTGGTGGGTCATCCCGTTCGCCGTCATCCTTGACAGATCCTGATAAGGGGAAAGGCGAACCTTAATGGGTACTGAACCGGGCGTGCATAAACCGAACCGGTTAACGAGTCCGATAGTTTGGTTTTAGGGTATAGCAGAAATGTAGCTTAACTCCATAGGAATCTTTCTTTCCCATCCTTTGCGAGACAGTGAGGTTGTAATATATATATATAGTTGTATGTATGTGTGTGTGTTTTATATACTTATTCTTGAGTTATTAAATGACTTAATTTTCGGATTCAAAGTTTTATGGAAATAAAGATAATTGATTTCTTTTGAATACCTATTAATGAGGAAACGGTAAATTATAATTTTAGATATTTATTATTGTTTGTCTATTTAATATCAGTTTTCCAATTTCTACATGCATGATGCATCTTCAAACTAATTCCCTGTATAATTTGTACGTTACTGTAACACTGTTTATGTCAATATCATAACTGTATTTTAATTTACGAAAATTGACAAACGGAAATTTTATTTTACGAAATTTAATAATGATAATGAAACTTTCAATTATAACGTATGTTAAAATAAACATGGCAAGGAAAATATAAAGGTAAAACCCCTAAAAATTCCTGAACTTGCAAAGTGCGAGAAAAAAAATTCCTGAACTTGCGAGTGTGCCAAATAATTCCTAAACTTGCAAAAAGTGTCTCAATAAATCCTAATCTTGTTTAAAAGTGCCAGATGAATATTTGACCAATATTGACTGAAACTCAATCCTACGTGGATTGTGATGTGCGGAGCCACGTCAGTTTTTATTTCCACGTGTGCAGAAGCTGGTTTTGATAAATCTGGTTTAGGAAATAAACGGGAATGTACCGAACCGGGTTTCATAATGTTAAACCGGAAAAAAAAACCCTAAATCTATTTTTACCCCCAAATCGACTAAACCCACCGAAAGCAAAACCTAACTCTCTTCAAACTCTCTCATCGGTAAGGTCTTCGGCAGTAGATTATTCTTCGAATCCCAGATTTCGACGCTCCATTTATCTTCGAATCCCAGATTTCGGCGCTCTATTTATCTTCGAATCCCAGGTTTTGTAACCTTTAATACTCTTCTTGTTCTGTCTTTGTCGTTGGGTATTTTTGTTATTCGTTTTGTTCTGTTCTTCTTGGGTGTTTCTCTGGTTTGGTTTGCTGTCACAATAGAAGTATTATTGGTAAGTGTATATGGTGTTGACGATGAGTTGTAGGAATCGGTGAAATTTTTTGTCTGTTAAATATTATAGTTTTTCACAGGATGAAAGGGAGTTACTCATCTGAAGGTGGAAGAAGGTCGTCAACGTCGACTGGACAATCCAATCGAAAAAAAACTCAGAGGCGTGAACATAAGGTTTATCCATGGAAATGCGAATGTGGAAGTGACATTGTGAGATTGACGTCGAAAACAGATAACAATCCAGGAAGAGTGTTCTTCTGTTGTGAGAAACAGGAGGTAAAATTGAAAAACACGAATGTATGTTTCATTTTTGTTTATGCGTGATATGAACTTAGCTGGTATAATGTTTCAGGGAGAATTCGATCATTTCTTCAAATGGTTTGATGATGTTATCGAAGAGAAAACGGACAATAAATGTCTTCTTGCTTCTCGTTGATTATACATAACGCATGTTGACAAGGAATCCCCCTCAGATCCCACTGGCGACAAGCGCAACACTTCCCAGCAAGATCTACTGCATAACTCATTCCGAATTCTTCCACTTCATACTGACCACGAGCACTTGGTATACTTGTGCAAAACCTTGTTTTTTGCCTAGCTTCTTCTAACTTCTTAATGCAATGACGGCTAAACTCGGTAACACATCTACTTGCATACCTCGACCGTTTGGCAATGCGATGCATTATTTGTTTACGGATCATCTCAAGCATATCTATCATTGGTCTTAGACGTGCCTCTCTGATAGTCTGATTAAAACTTTCAGCTAGATTGTTGTTAACATCGTCACATTGCGAGTGGGCCTTGAAGAAAGCCCGAGCCCATTGATGTGGTTCTGCACGTAAAACGACTTCATGTGCCAATTCATTGACCTGTTTCATCTCTGCGAGACATGCATCATAATGAGCTTCATGATATGCAGCAGCAATACTCCAAAAGATGCGTTTATACCCAGAATCCTTATAGGATTTCCTCCAGTTCGCGTAAATGTGACGAGTACACATACGATGCTCGGCAAATGGCATCTCGTTAGCCACAGCATTCAACAAACCCTATGTAATAAGTACAACTTAGTAAGTAAATGAATCACAAAATAAAACAAACACTAAATCAGTAAATATTTTGGGAAATGAAACCACAACATTTACCTTTTGCTTGTCTGAAATTATTGTCAAATCCTGCCCTTCACCGAGTTCCAAATCTGATTTCAATTTCTTGACAAACCAACACCAATTCTCAATGTTCTCTATACGCACAACTGCCCACGCAATGGGGAAGATACTATTATTAGCATCTCTACCAATAGCCGCTAGAAGCTCTCCTTTCAATTCCCATTTCAAAAAGCAGCCATCCAATCCAATTACGGGTCGACAACATTTTTTCCATGAATCACGCAACACATCAAAACAGATGTAAAACCGATCAAACACTTCTACATCCTTCTCCATCTTTGTCCCTATCTCAGTGATTATGTTTGGGTTAGACCTCCTAAGCTCGGCCTCATAATCCCACAACTTTGCAAATTGCACTTTCTGTTCTTCCGTAACCATTTTTTCTGCAGCACGTCGAGCCTTACAACATTTACTCTTCGACATAATCAACCCATATTTCTCTAGCAATCCCACTCTTATGTCAACACCTCTAAGACGTGGATTCCTCCTCATGTCCTCCTTGAAGCGTTCAGCAATATGATGCATATTCACCAACGGCGCATGTCCATTTGGCTGGTGATTGTGTGTTGGGTAATACGTTTTGATCACCCACTTATTCAACGATGTATCAAGCACACAATACACCCTCCATATACACTTTTTATGCCTACAATTCGCTGAGTACCTCGTCGACGAAGACTTCGTCATCTTAATGTTGAATTGTGAATCAAACACATAATCAACCAATGTCTTCTTGAACTCTTCTCCGGAATTAAATGTCTTCCCAAGATAAAGATGTCGTTTGTCTCCTTTTTTCTTAGCACTTTTTACAGGTCGCTCAAAAGATTGCCACTCTTCATCCGTGTTTAGAGGCGTCCCGGGAATCTCAACATCATTGTCTTCATCACTTTCACCAGATTCGATATTATCCTCTGCATCATCCTCTGCATCATCCTCAACAGCCCTACCTCCATCATTATCATTAGAAACATCATCATCATCACCAGAATTAGCAGAATCCTCACCAACTTCTTCTTCATTTTCAGCATTTTCAACTTCATCATGTTCGATGAACACTTCCATCTCTCCCACTTCTGCTGCCATCTTATTCATATTTCGAAATTCATACCTATCTGAACTATGGTTGATCAACCTCCTGTCTTTATATGGTTCTTGCGGTAACTTGTACCACACCTGATATATTGGCGGATATACCTCTCTCAGTTGTACGATTTCTTCGAACATCTCCCATGAAAGATTCGGTGAGTTATCAATAAAGACTTTCGCCCTCTCCCCGCCAATGTACCCCACATCTCCATCTTCATCATAATCAGTGCATCCTCCGAAATACACATCCACTGTCAACCTGTAAATTTGCGGTCGAAGAATAACACAACATAAAAAACGTCGTCAAATATCATTGTGAATCTGTCACCTGCACACATATTTGCAGAAATTTTGAAGAACCCATGACGAAAATACTCACCTCATGGCAACAACCTCGCGAAGCCAGAAGAAGACACACACAAAACCAACCTCACCGTCGAAGAAGAAGACGGTACCAACGCCAATCCGCCGCCGGTTGAAGAGAAACGACACCGTTGCCTGAAGAAGACTAGAACGCGACGCCGACTCAGGACGAAGAAATCGCCGGCGATTTAGAAATCGCCGATGATGGAGGGCACGAGGTTTCGCTTTGCTCTCGGGATTCGATTTTGGTAAAGGTAAATTTAGGGTTTTTTATTCACATTTATTGAACCAGAATTTACTGTTTTAAACCAATTTTATTGAACCGATTTTTCTAAACCGGTTCTGATTACATAGGTAAGAAATCCGACATGGCTTGACATGTCATCTGCCACGTATGACTTAAAATCGTATTATTCTAATCATTTTATACTAAGGACTATTATGACACTTTTAAACAAGATTAGGATTTATTGAGACACTTTTTGCAAGTTTAGGAATTATTTGGCACACTCGCAAGTTCATAAATTTTTTTTCTCGCACTTTGCAAGTTCAGGAATTTTTAGGGGTTTTACCCAAAATATAATAATGTTAATGATATCAAAGAGTTAAGAAATGGGGCCCGCAAATATCACACGTGGATAACTAGTACGACGTCGTATTCCTGAAGTTTCAACGGCCGGAAAAGTTCCTCCAGCCTCTCTCTCTCTCTCTGCGATTTCATGTGTCTTTTTCGGTTTCGATTTCTCCCAAAATCCAAGCTTTCTTTCAAAACCCTAGTGATTCCAAAATTCGCCATTGTTTCTAGTGCACTGCTGAGCCTGTAATGCTGATCACTGGCGGCGATTAACTCCGGCCGTGGAACCACATGCCTAGGAAAGCGCCGCCACCGCAGCCGCCGGTGGCTCGCCTCGGCGTAGTGTGGCTGGGTTGGAAGCTCATCATTGCTCTCTCTGCCGCACTTTTGCCTCCTCGCTCTCCTCAGGCTTCACCTTCTGTACCGTCCCGGTTTAACGGCGCCGTCGGATTCACTCTCCGCCGAGGGATCTTGTATTTCGGTCCTCGAATACAGAGGTGGTCGTCCCAAAGTCGCGTTTCTCTTCCTGGCCCGTCGTGATCTTCCCCTTGATTTTCTTTGGGATAGCTTCTTCAAGGTCGAGTTCGTACTCGTCTTCTATGATCACTTGGATTGTTTGTTACTTTGGTAGTTTCTTAGTTGGGAAATGGCTGTTTGTGATGAAATTTGCAGGGAGCCGATAAGGGCAATTTCTCCATTTACATTCATTCGGTGCCCAGTTTTGTGTTCAATGAAGTCACCACGCGATCGCAGTTCTTCTACAATCGGCAATTGCCGAATAGCATCAAGGTGAAGACCAATTTGCACCCTTTTTGTGCTTTAGTTCCAGGAATATGGTTGAAGAATGAGAAAGGAAAACAAAGAATTTCCAGTCTGTTGTGAATATGCCGCCTAAGTATTTTCTGAATTATGAAATATGCCCTGAAATGTATCATTGGGACTCAAAGGATGTACCATGTAAGAGCAATTATTGATCTAAATACTTCCTTTGAATCCAAATATTTTAGTGGGTGAATTGAAATAGGGTGTTTCTCATTTGCAGGTTGTATGGGGAGAATCAAGCATGATTGCTGCAGAGAGATTGTTGCTAGCAGCTGCCTTAGAGGACGTATCAAATCAAAGATTTGTTCTTGTGTCTGATAGGTCTGGTTCCTTAACCTCTATACATCAGATGCTTTTTCTTGTGATTTTGTGCCGATTTTTTTTCTTTAGGCAGAAAAGATATCCTTTATCGCCTTTTGTTGGAGTTGGTGATCTTGGTTCAGTTTCAATTCTCAAGTTCTTTGGCACATTGACATTATATATACACACGCACACACACTCTATTTTGCTTATGAATACGTATGTATAACCGATTGGTAAGTTGTAGTTGTATGCACAAACAGGCCTAGCGCAATACAAGATGTACATGCATATGTGTGCACGCTCACTGATTATGGCACTCATTCATCCCTTTCTTATTCTTTGGTCCCTTTGTTTTGCAGCTGTGTTCCTTTATATGACTTTGGCTACATATAAAGATATCTTATGTCTTCTCCCAAAAGTTGTGCCGACAGGTAGATGGCAAGTCTGGGGCTACTAAACACATTCAGCCAGTTGATTTGTTTTAGAGATGAAATTATCTAGATTGTGATTGCTAAGTTATTTTCTCTCTGCAGCTTTCTCGATACCAAGGAAAACCGCTACAGCTTGAAAATGTCTCCTATTATACCCAAGGATAAATGGCGAAAAGGGTCCCAGGTATCTTCTACGTAAATCCTTTTGAAAAGTTCATTCCCTTGCAAGGTTTTTTATGGAAGAGTGGTTAAGCAGCGGGAACATTGACAAGGGTAAATCTACGCCTTGAATGATAATGGTTTTTATTTTGGGTTTTTGACTTTTAGTTTTTAGTTTTTAATTTTTGGCTTTTGTAGTTTGCAGTTTTTAGAGACAGAAATAATATTTTAGTTTTTGATTTTATATTTAAAAATTATCAAAAAGGTTTTTAACATTAAAATAAAAATTATATTTATTAATATTAGTAATAACAATATAAGATGACTACAATATATATTTTGGATAATAAAATTTGAATTACATAACTTAAATTATAAAACATTTTTTCAAAAAGGTATAAATTAAGATGAAAATAGTAAGAATATTGTCTTTATATAGATATAGATATAATATAAAATTATTTTTAGAACAATAGGTATTTTTGTCTTTAAAATAATTTATATAATTATTTTTTTAATAAAAATAAAAAATATAATAACAAATATCTAAAATCTACAAAAGAAATTAATACAATCTACAAAAGAGTGGTTTTTGGCTTTTACGTTAGTTTCTCAAAAAATTGATTTTGCGGATTTTTAGGAAAACTAAAATAAGAAAATTGAGATTTCTTTAGGTTTTTAATTTTCAAAAACTGGGAAAACCACTCACAGCCCTAGTCTAGCTTATTGTTTCAGGTTATCTCATCCTAGATTTATTTGTTTGGAGTGGATATCTTTGACCAGAAGTCACGCGGAGGTCATAGTAAATGATGATATCGTGTTTCCAGTTTTTGAGAAATTTTGCAAGGTATAAATGGTCACATGTTTTGTGTGGGCATCTTTTCGCTGGACGATTTCTTTCTTAAGTGATACCTTTGCCTTTTAAGGGGGCGACAGGGCGACTGGTTGCACCGCCGCTACATGAAAATGGAGCGGTTGCGATTTCCGGCGGTTCCAGGTGATTGAAAAACTGACTGGTTGAATCACAACCACCGGCAATCGCAGCCAAACTTGTGTTTTCTAATCGCAGCTTTTAACTTGCGTTTTGGTAGCAGTTTCCGGCGTTTTGACAAAAAAACTAAAATATCCTCATTAAAAATTATATAAAACTCTAATATATATATATATTTATGATGATTTTGTTTAGTGTTATGATTTGATATTATTTTTTAGTATTATTTTAATAAAAAATATATAATAGTATACTTTTTAGATTTAATAATGATTATTTTTTAATAATTTTTTGTAATAAAATTATTTTTTTTTACTTCAAAATAAATTAAATTGATAATATTTATATTTTAAATTTATTATTTAATTATTATAAATTTAGTAAATAATTTTAATCAAATCATACTAAAATTTTAATTAAAATTATTATAAAAAATTATTTTAAAATAATAATTTTTTTATAATTTATATCAAAATGCAATCGCAACCGCAACGAACCATTCACTTCTAACCGCACCCACCCGCAATCGCTGCCAACAACAACTTATCAACCAGTCAGTACTTATCATTTATAATCGCTATCAAACGTTTTGAAAACGCCGGCATCCGCAACCGCAACCGATGCGGTACAACCAGTTGAACCCGAAGTACTTTTCTAACTATCCTAATGGAAAGCTTGGAAGTTATTTCATCGATGATGTTTTATTGTCAACCTGTTACATATGGTGTTTCTTCCATACACAGCGAATTGCTCGTAAAATTTCTTCTTGATTTGCAGCGATCTCCACCTCTAGATCTAGACACCAGGAACAAATGGCTATTTGTAAGTGTGATGCTTTAATATTCGGGCCTTGATGCGACTTGAATTGATTTATGAGTATGCTTACTAGTTCTAATACGATTTGACTGGATAGGGTGAAAAAACTTTAACAAGGCGAATTAGCAAGACATTCTAACATGGTAGCTCGTTTTCTTTTGACATTTTCGCTGATGTGAATACAGAAACTTCAGAAACGGCACAACTGCATCCCTGACGAACACTATGTGCAGACACTGCTCATCGTAAGCATCAAATCCCGTCTCAGTCTTTGACTCAATTAATTCGAGATTCGTTTCAATCACCAGTCCCTTACTGGTTTCCTGTCGAGACTAATCCTTTTAGATGCGTGGACTGGAAAGTGAAATGGAATGGAGAACATTGACATACACAGTATGGAACCTATCCACTGCGAAATCTGAAACCGAATCTTGGCATCCCATCACTTTCACATCGGAGAAGTCCGGTCCCGAGCAAATCAAAGACATAAAGGTGCAGCCTTTTCTCCTATACTTCCATCCTTTTTTTTTGTGGGTATTACATTATACTTGCCCACAAGAACCAAACTGATGAATCTCGTTTTTTCTTTTTCGGGCCAGAGAATCAACCATGTATATTACGAATCTGAATATCGAACTGAATGGTGTTGGGTAAACACAAAGCCTGCCCCGTGCTTTCTCTTCGCGAGGAAGTTCACCGTAGGAGCTGGAATGCGTCTACTGAACGAAGGATTGGTTGGTAAGTCGACGCAGACAACCTTATAATTAGAACTGAAGTGGTTAGTGGAAGACAGAGGCTGACCCCCAAGTAAAAAAAAAAAGGCTTTCTTCATCAAAAACACAGTATAGAATGGTGAAGGAACAAAAGCATTTGACATCATTGGAGACATCAGATGAGGTTAGTGACATTAGCTTTAGTACAGAATGTGTCTGAATTCTCGTCAAATGGCTTCTTCTTCGTTTTTTTATGTAATTTTTCTCTGGGTTTTGTGATTTGGTTCAATAAATTAATCGTGGTTAATTCTACATTCATATTTAAGGTTTAAAATTAACCGATTTTACGAGTTTTATCAAGAGTCAACTTGGAAGGTGTTGCTGTTGTGACCTAGAGGTCGAGTCCTGGAAGCAGCCTTTTGTAGATATTTCTACAAGGTAAGGCTTGCCTACAATACACCCTTGAGTCAAGATGAGATCTTTTCGGGGACCCCGACTCAACGGAGACGCTCTGTACCTCGGGCTGCCCTTTATCAAGTTGACGCCCTTTATCAAGAGTCAACTTGACATCATAAAACTGCCCTTTATCAAGAGTCAACTTGACGTCATAAAACTCTTCAACTGATGACCATGCAAGTGCTATTGTCACGGCTTTTACCTAAGTTTAGGAAAAGGGATTGGTTGCATGACAAGTTTGAACCATACATACACATATATATACACACATACATACATACGCGTGTGTGTGTTCATACCTACAAGGGATCATCTTCATATATTAATTAGCAAATAATTATCCGTGATGACTGTAGACTATAGTCTCGTACATACGACTTTTCCCGTATGAAATATTTGTGGTCAAGACTACAGATATAAACCCTACTTTTTGTACACACAAATTAAACAGCATGGCTTTAAATTTAATTAATAGTGAAATTTGTGGTTCTAGTAAGTAAAATCAAACCAAATGGAATCGAATAACATATTATTATCTATTTATATTTTATTTAAGTAAATTAATTAAATACGAAACAAATATGAAAAGTTATGGAAAACGAAAATTTCTTTAAAATATGTATTTTAGATAGAAATCGAATTTTGTTATTTCAAATGAATTTCGAGCCATGGAAAATCGAGCACCAGCGATCAACATATGAGATTTTCAATTTCATTGTGTTTATTCCAATTCTTAATAACATGCAGTATTCACGTGTGTTTTTAAAAAGAAATAGTTATTTATTCGCCACAAGTCATTAACTCGTTGACGTTCAACGGAACCAATTGTACGTCTAACGCGAATGTTCCAATAAGATCGAATCTCGTAATTCCTTAATAATTTCAAGCCAAAATCATCAACGAGTGGATGTTTCTTCCACTATATACATATATATATATATATATATATATATATATATCTGTTGAGGCTTCATTTACCTTATGTTCTATAAACCTTCGTGTTCTACAACGGAAGTTCTTAATATGGACTATAGTTTAGATGAGAAACAAGTTAAAAATATTATATAGGTTTTCATCAAAAAAAATATATTATATAGGGGGTTTAAATCTATGATTAAAATTTTTTAATCTACATAATTTATATAGAAATAGACTATTAAAGCTAACCCTTTAATATATACACAAAAAACGAGGAATATTTATATCATGGGCTTCCATAGTACGAATGGAAATGGTAAATGTGATATGCAAGAATAGGCTTATAGTTCATCGGTTTAATTAATTTAATAGGGTATTATACTAAGTCTAAAACCTTTATTATATGTATTACAACCAAAATTCGACCGTGTGCCAACAAATTCTACCTAATCCTTCCTTTCTTGGGTTCATTCATATTTCACAATATCGTAAGCGCTTTGCGGTTGACCTCTCCACTAAATACATCAAATATAATTATATTCCATATGACAACATGATATTTTCATTTCTTAATATATATATATATATATATATATATATATATAAAATGCTTATTTATCACGTGCCCTCCATTCGTTCTATCACCTATATAAGTACCCTTCTAATCCCGCAATCTCTCGTCGATCTCAACATCGATCTTATCCGTATAGTACTTTCCTCTTACTTTCCTCTTACTTGAGAGAGAGAGAGAGAGAGAGAGAGAGAGAGAGAGAGAGAGAGAGAGAGAGAGAGAGTGATCATAGCATGAAGACATTAATGATCTTGTTGGTGCTAGGAATGGCCTCCATAGCTACAACACTTGGCGAGGCGTTGCCCATTGCCCAAGAAACATCGACGTCTCTGCGTGTAAGGAGCCGATATCGCTCTCACGCCATTTTCAAGTACGGAGCCCGTCTCAGGACATGCCAAAGACATCCTAGGATTTGTCTTGCAAAAGGCAGTCCGGGGCGAAACTGTTGTAAGAACAGATGCGTCGAGGTGAGGAGCGACAGATACAACTGCGGAAGATGCGGGAAGAGATGCCGGTACTCGGAGATTTGTTGCAACGGCAAGTGCGTGAATCCGATGTTTCATAGGAATCACTGTGGGGGTTGCTTCAACGGCTGCAGCAGAGGGAGCTCTTGCTTCTATGGGATGTGTGGCTACGCATAAGAACCATGCTATATAAATTCAATTATATTTATTTTGTTTTTAGCTAATTGATTTTTGAAACGGTCCAATCTAATTCGATTCATTTCTATTTGATTTTGTTGGAATAATATTGGAATTTTTCATGTTTTGTCCTTTATGATTTTTTCGATTTTTGTTTAATTAAATAACAATAATCAATATAAATGTTTATTATCTTATTATAACTTCAATAAATCGTATGATTAGATTTTTTTTATCGACGAAATCATCATATGATTAGATTTAAATGGATAAAAAGTCAATGCGTAAATTTGAAAATTTTAAAATACGTTATATTCAAATTGTGTTTACTCAGAATTTATCATTGTTTTTAAAAAAAATTAAAGTTTATATAAAACCCGTAGAACCAGCGCAAAAGCCATGTTTAAAAACTCTATTTACAAACATGATATATACATTGAAACAATATTAGCTATAAATATGCATAGCTGCATATCAAAAAAGATTTTAAAACCGGTTTCTATATTCAAACCATAACAAGAAGTACATATTTTCACATAATACGTATATATATATACGCACGCATATATATATATATATATCTCTTCACAGTCTAAGACTCTCTCTCTCTAAGCCAAAAACTCCATTCTACGTTTCTCTATCTAGAAACTCTTCTTCTTCGATTTTGGATTTCAGATTTCAAACTCAGATCCATGGACCGAGGATGAAGGAACTTCACGCTCGATTCGAAATTTCCAGACCCTAACTGTCGTCGGAATTTCCCCGATTCTGCGGTGTCGATGCAGATCAGAAAACGTACGGGAAGATTAGGTTTCCGGTGAGTCTCCCCGGTTTCCCGACCGAGAAGACGACCGTTTCTCTTCCACCGGCGAAATCGACGGAAAGTTCCAGGCAAAATGGATTTTTTCTGGGACGAGGTTTTACGCGGCGGTGAAGAGGGATTACAAGTCATTGAAGAGGACGAAGATGATCCCGCCGATGTAAATGTGAGTACAGATCGGTGATTTTTTTTTCTTGTTTTTGTATCATTTGATGTACGAATTATTTTAGAATTTTATCTGTTTCATGAAATCATACTGGATGGAATCTAACGACGGCTAATTAACACTGGAAGTGATCAATCTTTGATCGATCATGGAAAGAACAATGTAACAAAACTTAATCATCGGAATTCGAATCGTTTACTTAATTATATATACTTTTAGTTCGATATTGAATTGAATTCTGATTTTTTGTTTCCTAGTTGCCCGAGGTACATGTTCGACTGCAGAGAATGAACTGGGAGAATCGAAAGCTTAGAGAAATGCTCGATGAAGTGACCAAGAAGTACAATTACTTGTGTTCGCAACTTTCATTATTGCATCAGCATCAGAATATCCCCGATAAGGTAATTACTACTAAACCCAAGGTCTAATACAATCATTAATTTGATATTTTGTAACATGAACTCAGATCAATTTCTGTTCCCATTTGATAATTCGGTTTTTTTAAGTATTGTGGATTAGAAATCTAGATACCCTTTGTTTTGAAAACAGTAATAGAAGAAATATAGGTCAGTTTTGAGATGATTAGGGGATAAAGTTTAGGTAATGCAGTGGTTGCGATCTTTGCTAAACTGTGATTAGGCAATGGGGGGAAAGCCAGTGGAGACGCCATCACAAGGCGGGATGGATGTGAATAGGCAATTCATCAGTCAAGGTCCTTCTAAGGCGGTGGCCGAGGCCGATAATTTATCATCGGAGGAGAAGACTCAATCGGTTGCTTCTCGAGGTGACAATGTTGAGCTCGAAATGGACAATGATATAAGGGGCAAGAAGAGACTTGTGCAACAAGAAACTTTAGAAACCGAGCCAACGAACAAGCTTCAAAAGGCGAATAACGATCCTCAAACAGATCATCAAATATCCGCCAAGGCTCCGAAGAAAACCACCCGTGTAATTGTTCGTGCGCGATCAAGAGCTCCAGTGGTAAAAAATCTATATCTTTGGATATGCCAAGAAGCTAGAGAGGACACAAATTCTTTGAACTTTACATTGGTGAAATATATTTTGGATAATAGATAAGCGATGGATGTCAATGGCGGAAGTACGGTCAGAAGATGGCGAAAGGAAACTCGTCCTCGTATACGCGGGATTTCTACCGTTGCACCATGGCCACGGGCTGTCCCGTTCGCAAACATGTACGTTTACCTCTTCTCATTCTTCAACAATATCAGACTTTTTTTTATATCAAAATCGGCTAAAACTATCAATTTAATATTTAGTATGAACTGTTAAAGACTTGAAAAAATGTATCTTTTTTATAGGTTCAACGTTGTGCTGAAGACAGGTCGATCTTGATAACGACTTATGAAGGTAGCCACCACCACCCGTTGCCGCCAGTCGGGGCAGCGATGGCCTCAGCCACCACTGCGGCCGCGAACATGTTGGTGTCCGGCTCGCTATCTAGCCCCGACGGCTACATGAGCATGACCGATTTACAAGCTCGAGCATTTCCTTGTTCCTCAAGCATGCCCACCAACTTGGCCCCGGCTCTATTCCCCACCGTCACGTTAGACCTCACCCACCCGCAATTACATGAAATGACAAATTTGCCCAAGGATTTGTTGCCTCTAGTTGTAGCGCATGCCTTGTATAACCGATCCAAGTACTCGGGAGTTCAGTTTTACGGCGACTTCAACGGTTTTCCGGCGGCTTCTCCGCCACATACCTTTGCTGATACGGTGGCCGCACTCACGGCTGACCCAAAGTTCACGGCGGCTTTGGCCGGAATTATTTTGCCTATGATCAATAGATCGAGTCACGGATACGGCCAAGGGAACCGCAAAAATTAAATCATTCGATTTTGGAATAAGTTTTAAAACTTGGTTATTTTTTTTCTTTCTGAGATATCTATTGAAATTTGTGGAAAATAATTACTTAATTAGATTTTTAAATTTTTTTGTTAACTTCTAAATATTATGTTTGTTTTATGGTATTAATTTTATGAATTCGAAAACTGTAAATTTTTATCATTGTTCTTTGTGACTGACTATTGATCGTACACAAGTTATGCACACCTGTACAAAATGGGACATATGACTTCTGAAATGCCCAAATTAATATTGTCGTGTTTTCATTAGATAATGATTCAAATTAACGAGGGTATTATTATTATAGTAACAATGGAGGTATATATATATAATGGAGGTTTTATTAAGGATGGTATTATTCGTTTTTATTGAAATCAAATGACTGAAGTTTAGCGGTTGCGATTGGAGATCTTTTAAGGAGTGAACGGAAGAGTATAAGATTCATCAAACATTATTGTCGATGCGAGAAATGGTACGTCCATTTATCAAAGTGCAGTTGCGTGACGGACGACAGACTCGGTTATGGTTTGATGATTGGACAGCACATGGGCCGTTGATCAATTTTGTGGGCGAGCTTGGACCGAGGCTATTGAGGATACCGAGATACTCATTGGTGGCAGATGCGGTCGTGAATGGGAGATGGTCCCTTCCGGCGGCCAGATCAGAAAGAATTCAAGATCTTCTGTTCTCGCTGACGGAAATTGATCCACCGTGTCCGGAACGCGGCAGTGACACGATGCTGTGGAAGCAAGATAATGGTGAATTCAAGAACCATTTCTCAATATCCAAGATTTGGAAACTGATCCGTACGCGAAAGCCCAAAATTGGGTGGCATCGTATGATCTGGTTCCGAGATGCTATACCACGACACTCTTTTCTTCAATGGCAGGTTATGATGTAGCGTTTACCAACGAAAGATCGCTTACGGAAATGGGGACTTCAAACGGAGGCTACATGTGTGTTATGCGGGCTGGAGGAGGAGACCCACCAGCATCTCTTTTTTCATTGCTCGTACAGCACCGAGGTGCGGACTTATTATAGCTCATGCTGTTGGGATTCTCCAGCTCAATGCAACACAACTTTAACTGGATCGAGGCACCTCGAAATGACGATGGAAAGAGTAGGACGATCATTTGCAAACTGATCCTTCATGCCACAGTATATCTGTTGTGGAGCGAACGAAACAACCGCATTTTCCGGAGTAACCACAAGAAGACACATGTTCTCCGACAGAAGGTAGACAACTTGATGAGAACCAATCTCTTGTCGGTGAAGGGCAGGGTCGGATCAGCTAACAACATACTGCTAGAATATTGGTATTTCTTGACGGAACGAACTTGACGTCGATAACACAACAAACACAGGAAAAAAGCAGCTAACTGCCAAGTATTTTGTCTATTTGCACATGGGATGTTTTTGTCTTAAATTGTTCAATGGATTACCCAAATAATGGAAATTTTTTGTAATTATTTTGAACCTCACGTATTAATACCACTTCACATACAACCAAAAAAAGATTGGAGGTTTTTTTTTTTTTCTATCTAAAACCTACGTTCTAAGAGAATTTAAGCTTTATACCAAAGGCCCATTACACATATTTCTTTCGCGGGGCCCATTAAAGTTCTAAAGGCCCATTTATTTTTCGATGGCCCATAGAAAGACTTTTTTTTCAAGGCCCTCCGAGTTAATGCCTCATATTTTATTTCATATCAGAAAATGTTATACCCATAAATTTAAATAATTCTGTAATACGCTAATAATATATCTATATTATTAATATATTATCGCATAGTTATCCATTCCCTGGAGTATACATTTTAGAATAATCTGAGATATAAGAGTCAACTTTCCCGGAATTAACGAAAAATCAAAGTATGACGTGTAACCTGATCAACGGCTATGACGGGAGAGAGCACGTAATTTACTATACATTTGTATGCACCTGATATTTTTGCCCTTTTTATATTTCTTTCTCAGATAGATAATTTTGTAACGTTATCCAAATTTCAACGGTGAAAACCCACGCGATCGCACATATCCAACGGCTGAGATTGAAACATGGAAAAGAGTAAAAGAAAAGTCTCGTACTGTGGCGTGAAGGGGCACCGATATAAATGACGTGGCAACAGACCGGCACGCTCTGTCACGGTCATCTTATAGATTCGCTCAATATATTTAACTGTCTTTGGCTTCTTCTCTTTTCTTCAACTTTCTTTCCCACCATCGTTTCTGAGAAATTCGTGCTTTTTCCCCGGTGAGTTCTCGTCAAATCTCTCGATTCTTCTCTCTCGTTTCTTTAAGTTTTTGAAGCTTGGATTTCACGGGTATCTTTTGTCCGATCATTTGTCTTCATCGCTCGGTACCGATTCTTGTTTTCCGATTTGAATCCCACGTCGTATTGTTGAATTAAGAATTCGTAGCTGTTTGGGTCGTTAATCGTTGTTTAATACTGTTTTTAGTAAATTTTTTCTGTTTCTTCTGGGTTTTGCCTTTCGTTAAGTACGAGGTTTACGAGGTTTTTCTTCTTGTCTCACGATCTATTGTTGCGTTTTACTACATATGCTAGTTTTGTGTGTGTGTGTACTTTTTCGTGTTATGTAGATATTGTCCATTTGCATGCGATAATGGTGGCGATGTCACTGAGATTTGAGATTCTTTTCCGCTCCTGTTTGATTGCAGAATCCTCGCTCTTTGTTCGTTTCCCCTTTTTGAGGTGGTTTATACACTTGGTGGAATTTTGATCTAGGGTTTTATCGTAATCAGTCGTTTGATGCTTCATTGCCACGAATAGGTCAAATGGGTGTAAACTCGGTTGCTGTCGCTGTCTTTCTATCCTTCCTGTTGTCTTGTTCCGCCGCCTCTGTGAGCAATGACGGGAGGACATTCAGAATTGGTCTGAAGAAGTTGAAATTGGATCCCAACAAACGATTCGCCGAACGAATTGGTTCCAGGCAAGAAGATGCCTTGAGGGCTTCTCTGAAGGAATTCCATTTGCAGAAGAATCTTGGAGATTCTGGAGATACTGATATTGTTGCGCTCAAGAATTACTTGGACGCTCAGTACTATGGTGAGATTGGCATTGGCACCCCACCGCAGAAGTTCACTGTGATTTTTGACACAGGAAGCTCTAACCTTTGGGTGCCATCATCCAAGTGTTATTTGTCTGTAAGCATTATTAGTATCTCTTCTTACAATTGCAGAGTGTATCTGGAAAAAAAAAACTAAACTGTTCTTGTCATCGTCTAGGTTGCGTGCTTCTTCCACAGCAAGTACAAGTCATCTCGTTCAAGCACATACAGGAAAAATGGTTCGTTTCTTTCTCTTGGTCCTTGTTGTTTCTTGAATTAGTTATCCGTGGCTTTGGTATAATTGCTTTCACGCTCTCTTATCTCTTCCTTCTCCGAGCTCGGGTTATGGACGAAGGTGGGTTCTTGAGAAGTTCATTGGCAGTCAAGTGTCCTGCATTTGTATCTTCCAGGATACATTTTTGAAGTCAAAATTACTACGTGTAGCCTCTCCTACAATCAAGATTGTTAAAAATTGATAACATCAATGATGATATAAGTTCTGGGAATCCTATTCATATTTGATGCAGGAAAATCTGCCTCAATCCATTACGGCACTGGAGCAATCTCGGGTTTCTTTAGTAATGATGCCGTCACAGTCGGTGATCTGGTTGTCCAGAATCAGGTATGTAATGTATTATCCATCCTACCTGACCTATATTTTTACACTGCAACCTGATTGACGTTCCTCTCTCTCTTTTTCCTTGCTGATCTATTCAGGAGTTCATTGAGGCAACCAGGGAGCCCAGTATAACATTCTTGGTTGCTAAATTTGATGGTATCCTTGGCCTTGGATTCCAAGAAATCTCTGTTGGGAATGCCACTCCTGTGTGGTATGTGGACTTTCTTGCATTGGCATCCAGTTTGCTACTTCCATATAGTGTTGTTGACTTTTCCTGGCTCGAAATTTTGTCACACAGGTACAACATGATCAAACAAGGACTTATCAAGGAGCCAGTCTTTTCGTTTTGGCTTAACCGTAATCCCAATGATGAAGAAGGAGGTGAACTTGTGTTTGGAGGTGTCGATCCAAATCATTTCAAGGGAGAACATACATTTGTTCCTGTAACTCAAAAGGGTTACTGGCAGGTTTGTCTTGCATCGTTTCCTGCCTTGTTTCGTCTTAAATGTTTGACTATGTTTTGCAGTCACACTCTCATAGAAACTATATTATGTGTGATAGTTTGCCATGGGTGATGTTCTCATTGGCGGTGCACCCACTGGTATGTGTATTATTCTTATATCTTTTCGAATACATGTTCGCATTGGCGGTGAACCCACTGTTTCATCGTAACCCGAAAACATACTTTTTACAATTTTCTTTTGATAGCAATTGTTAGTTTTAACGTTTGGTTGGTTTTCTGTTGTACAGGATTCTGTGGAAGTGGTTGTTCAGCGATAGCAGATTCTGGAACTTCTTTGCTTGCAGGTCCAACGGTAAGCAAGAATTATAGAACCCATAGCCTCTTTAGGTCTTTAGTTTGTAAGTCGTAACGTTTACTTTTGATTCGGATCTGAGAAAATACATTTGTTCCCTGTAAATCTGTGTAGGTTCCAGTAGGGCTAATGGAATAAGAAAATGATATGCCTTAGTTTTGGTACATGCAGTGTTGATATGCAGATCTTTTGTCAACCAGGATTCTTGATCAGTAGAATTTTGATAATTTTAGGTTCATATGGTCGGACGGGGAATAAATTGAGAGTAGGCATTACATCTGATTCCTTTTTTTTTCCCCCTTTCAGTTGATGCCATAATATCGTTGCTAAAAATGGCTCGGGTTTCGTTTGGTTTTATGTAGACTGTTATTGCAATGATAAACAAAGCTATCGGAGCGTCTGGAGTTGTTAGCCAGCAATGCAAGGCTGTTGTGGATCAGTACGGGCAAACTATCTTGGATTTACTTCTGGCCGAGGTAAATGATTCTCTCTTGCATTTGTTTTTGGCAAGGGACTTAGTTTATAAAACCTGCGACAATGTTTACTCGAATTTTATTCATCGCTCGGTTTCAGACACAACCCAAGAAAATCTGCTCTCAAATCGGTCTGTGCACCTTTGATGGTGCCCATGGTGTGAGGCAAGTTTTCAAAATGATTTGGTCTTTTTTTTTTTTAATGTTATGATGGTGCATGTATGTATATACATTAACATCTTCATCCTGTTTTTTTTTTTTTAATTCTTGTGTACTAAACTCTTTTTTTTTTTTGGGGGGGGGTATTAGTATGGGAATCAAGTCGGTGGTCGAAAGGGAAAATGGTGTGAATGATGGGGCATGCTCTGCATGTGAGATGGCAGTTGTATGGATACAGAACCAGTTGAGGCAGAACATGACTCAAGATCGCATCTTGAACTACATCAACGAGGTAATATCCATTCAGAAAACATGGAAAGAACGTTCGTTAATCCTAATCCGACCACTCCTGTTTTTCCTTGACAGCTATGCGAGAGAATGCCCAGCCCGATGGGGGAGTCAGCGGTTGACTGCGGTCAACTGTCGTCAATGCCAACCGTATCGTTCAGCATTGGAGGCAAGGTCTTTGAACTTGCTCCAGAGGAGGTATGATTTGAGAGATTAGATACATACATTCCATCGATCATAGAAATCTAAAATCTCTGGGATTGACATCGTTGTGTGTCTGTGTGTGAGTGACAGTACGTCCTGAAGGTGGGGGAGGGTCCGGTGGCTCAGTGCATCAGTGGCTTCATAGCTCTCGACGTCCCACCACCTCGTGGACCTCTCTGGTACTCTCTACTTACTCTTTCAATGCATTCGTGTTTTTTTTTTGGGTTTTAGATTGAGGAACCAAATATAATATATATATATACATATATATGTATGTAGGATACTGGGAGATGTGTTCATGGGTAAATACCACACTGTGTTCGACTTTGGCAACATGCGAGTTGGGTTCGCTGAAGCTGCTTGATGATGGTGATGGTGATGGTGTCATAAAGAGAGGTGAGATCCTTTCTCTTTTGTCTGTACTTTGCACAATTTCTGTCTGTGGAAGGATATGGGTCTTAAGAGACAGAAGGGGATGGATGAGCGTTTCGATCTGTAAACCCCTGCTTCCTCTGCACAACAAGTTGATGCTCTTTTTCAGGAAAAAAAAAAAAAAAATCTTTGAAACTAAAAGTTTGCCTTTTGTGAATTGGTAACTAAGCATCCTCTTTTTTATCACTTTTGTTTATTTTACTCTGCTCATATATATATATATATATATATATGTATGTATGTCTGATTACAGTTTTTGAATTAATTATTGACGTGGTTGTGAAAGTATCATGGGATATTCATTTTCTTAATGAGAGTTTATATGGGTATCAGTATATAATCAAGCAAACATATATTCATTAACTAAGCCTATCAAACCTTGCATATTTAGTTTTTGTATAAACAAATCTTTCAAAAATATAATAGAGCTTGTACGAACATTTTCTTATATCGATTTTCTTGCGCATTTTATTGATTTAAAAAAATATTTTTAAACATTACAATACAGAACACTAATAAGATTAAACTTTAAATAGTTTTCTTTCACCGTTAGATTTGAAACAGTTAAAACTGTATCCTTAGAAGAATATAAATTCGAGTTTTAAAATTACAAAAGAAAAAAGGTTTTAAAGAAGTTTTTTTTTTATAAAAGATGGATACTAAACCTAATTTTCGTAATATATATGAGGGATAAAGCGCTACGAGCACAATAAGACACTAATGAATCATGTATTGGAAAATATTCTAAATATTGGCCCATTGCGTCTCTCTCTCGCAGTTGCAAGACGCGCCTCCTCCAACGCGTGAGCGTCACGTTCCAAAGATCAGTAAGGAAAATGCCTCCATCAACGTGAAAACCTTAAGAAACTAAAAGTTAACTGGAAAATGATATATTCCTATAGGGAAATCCAACCAAATTGCGAAAGCACTACAATTTGCTGGGTGGAATAGAACTGAGCAACAAGTAAAAACCCTATCTTTAGAACAAAGAAAGAAGCTGTTCAGAAGGCAAATCTTGAAAACTAGCCTCAGGTACCCTTCTTGATGCTTGTGCGTGATAGTTTATGATCCAACGAGTTCAACTGATTCCGTAGCTCCTGGTTTTCCTCGAGCAACCTGTTGAACTCAAGAAGAAACCCTTCAGATTGCTGTCTTAGAGCAACTGCGCCTGATTCTTCGCCATTAGCTTCTTTAGTCTTTGCCTCGAGTTCAGACTCTAACTGCTTTTGAATTTCCTGTAGAGTCCTTATCTGTTCCTCCATGCCCTTGATTTCGTCCGAATTCCCGGGCTTTCCACCATTGAAACCCAGCCCCTGCTTTTTTATAGCTTCCATGCTCTTCCTTCTTACACGCAGTTCTCTCATGTAATGATGCAGCCTGTCTGTCATTAGCCCGAGGAAAAGAAAACCGCCTGACAGAAACAAAACCAAGATATGTTCAGGAAGAACAGCAAAAGACGAAGTCTTAAGAACACAGAAACCGGGAAACCTCATGAGACAACCGATTGAACAGTGAAATTTGCCGTGTTTGAACAAAATCAGAGTAACAAAACAGTAAGAAATCATAATCCAAATCCGGATGCAACAGCCAAACCATCGAGCGGCCGCCAATACGATCATAAAACACTAATACGAACTTTACTACTGTTACACGCTCAGATGTGGATCCTAAATTCTCCACCGGCACATCAGTACATTCGTTCAGAATGTTGACCAAACGTAGAAAAGATTGGATCCGAGCGAAGACAAAAACGAGCTTACCCATTAGAGTAGATTCCAAGAGATTTTTCTTCATGAGAACCTCATCTGTTGGATTCACCGTACCCTCATCGATCCAACGCTTCTGGATCTTCATCATACTGTACACGCTCGATGCCATAACCACACAAACCGTTGCCGCCACCGTCTTGACCACGACCGGTCCACGGCCACGCTTCGCCCGATCCAGGCTCATGATCAACAGCTTCCTTATCGGCGTCTTGAAGGAAAGCGCCATTATCACCGCAACCTCCGACAACACGACCGCGAACAGCAATTGCTGCATCCTGCTCGATCCAGACACTCGGAGGAATCGAAGCCGATGATGCGAGGATGTAATCTAGGGTTTTCAAATTCGTGAATCAGAGGACCAAATGCGACAGCGATCGATGGCTTTTCCGCCGGAGAGGACGAAGAAAGTTGAAATCGTGAAGAAATGTAATCGCCACTCCAATTTTGTATCTAAATTTAAATCTGTTAAAGCTTTAACAAAACAATCCTTATATTTCAATATATTTATGAAATAACCCTTACTTTTACAGAAACTTACAAGGGTTCCTATGAACTCTTTATCTTCAAATAAAAGCCAAAGTGTTCATATGGTTTCTCCGTATTTGAGAGACGAGGAGGAAAAATAACGGCGAACAACATATTTTGCTCCGGCGCTCCAGAAGCCGCCGGCGAGGCTGGAGACTTCCACTGTTCTAATCCTGTACATGCCTTCCTTCCTTCATGTGCCACGTGGCCTTATTTGATTCGTCAGATCTTCACAGACGGTGTCGTTAGGTGGCCGTCAAAGACGACAAACGGCACGTGGAAATGCCGTTAAGGGTTCACCCTTTGGAAAATTAGATGAAAGTTCTATCATTGATTGAATGTGCCTGTGCTTTTTTTTTTCTTCTTGCGACAAAACAATAAAATTCGCTGAACCGAAATCGAATCGTGGTTTTGCTCATCGTTCGAGCTGAAGGCAGGCATGGCGATTTGGTCGATCGTTCGGAGAAAGGTCGTCCATGGCGGCGGCTCTTCTGCTTCCTCGGTCAGTTTCCAGAAGTTTTCATTTTCCTCCCGTGTTTTCCCACTTCTCTCGTCGTTGATTTCTGTTTTTGCGCTTTGGCCTCCGCGTTCGCGATTCGCTGGATTTTCCCCTTTTTCTGCAAGATGTTTTTGGCTTGAATATGTTCGTAGAGTTTGTGACGATCATTCTCTTGTTCAGATTCTGGAAAAATCATGGAGGAGTACGCGGGCTGCGGCGGCATCTCGGCCGAGGTACTATGGAGCTATTGCAAAAGAGGTATGACTTTTCCTTCCCTCGATTTTGGGTATTTCTCCTTTTTTTTTTGTGATCTTATCACTTGTGATATCGATCGGATTTGTGGGACTAGATTTCATTTCTGGGCGATACGGTCAATAGGGTAAGCAGTGATCTGCAGAGATTTCCTTGGTTTTTTGCTCATTCATTGTAGTTTCAAAACTGTTTTCATTTGGATCTGGCTTTGTATTATTGGGCTGGAATCTCCTGCGCTATTAATTCTCAAGAGCTGCATTTTTTCCTCTCATTTTCCATGCTTAAAGTGCATTTTAATTACATTTGCAGAATTCACTTATTGCGAGAGGATCACAACAAGTGATGACTTCTGTCGGCCGTCGTTCATATCTAGGTATTTCTTAGTTCAAAATTTGAGAAACGCCATGAAAAGATGGTCGCTTTCCTTGCTTCATGCTCTTGTTTTTGTTTCCTTGATTTACAGGTTCCCAAATGAGCTTAGAGTCTATAAGGTGCGTGTTGTTATCTCATAACAGGGAACCGTATTGTACATTAGCTTGTATTCTCTTCATGCTTTCGAGTCTTTCAAATCTTGAAATCAAGCTTGGTTTTTTCTAATTTATTGGGAAGCTACCAGATGGAGGGATATAATGGAACAGAAATTAGCACGTTTCATATAGCTTTATATCCTTTCGGGTTGTATTCGATATTAGGATACTGTTTACCGTGCAGGGGGGTGGCACCGCACATGCAAGCATTCAACACCAGTAGTAGGTTGTTCTCTTCTGATAATGGTATGGCAATTTCATGATTTCTTCCTAAAATTTTTCAGTTGTATGCGTCAGTTTCATTTATTGATTCTGCATTCTGGTTATGAAAGGTGGAACTGTGGATGCTGTTGTTCCTTTCATGGGCGAATCTATTTCTGATGGCACATTGGCCGCTTTCTTGAAGAGTAAGGGGTCTTTGATAAAATTTGTATTTCTGTGGTTTGTCACTGGCTTGAGGGAAAATGGAATTTTGTATTTAACCGAGTTTTATCAACTGGGCTCAGAACCAGGAGATCGTGTGGAAGCTGATGAGCCCATTGCTCAGATAGAAACTGATAAGGTGCACTTTGTTCTTCTGCATCCCCCGCTCTCCTCTGATTTTTCATCAAACGCACTAACGTTTCCATTGTGTTACATAGGTCACAATCGATGTCCCTAGCCCTTCAGCCGGGATTATTGAAAAGGTAGGCACCAGTTTTGGAAGAACACATCTCATCAAACAGAATTTGCTTTTGAATCTTGTCTATTCTGCATTTAATATACCTTTCTCCCATCCGGATATAGCTCGTGGCGAATGAAGGAGATACTGTAGAGCCCGGTTTCAAGATAGCCATCATTTCAAAATCTAGTGGAGCCACAGCTCATGCTGAAGAATCGGAGAAGAAACCGGCGGAGGCAAAAGAAGTAGAAAAGCAGAAGCCTGTAGCAGAGGCTTCTCCTAAAGTAGAAACTTCACCACCCAAAGAGAAGCCTAAAGTTCCTTCTCCACCTCCCTCAGGAGCCTCAGCAAAGGAGCCTCAACTTCCTCCAAAGGAAAGGGAAAGAAGGGTATGTATCATTGTGTCATAGTTTTAGAGTTACCACCGAGTTTTGGCTATGACTCTATGGTCTGAATTTAGAGAATTCTGTTCACAGGTTCCAATGACAAGACTCAGGAAACGTGTTGCTACCCGATTGAAGGATTCTCAGAACACTTTCGCTATGCTGACTACATTCAATGAAATCGACATGTAAGTTTTAGCTGGTTTTTTCTTGAAAGTTCGTAACTTTGTAGGTCGTGTGGTTGTTCTGTTTTCATTCCCCATTTCTGATTTCACATCTTCTTTGTTGTTTGATTGGCATCAGGACCAATCTGATGAAACTCCGGTCAGAGTACAAGGATGCTTTTGTCGAAAAGCATGGTGTCAAACTAGGTTTCATGTCAGGATTCGTAAAGGTCTGAACTTTTATGCCTGTGGTAATCGTAATTTTATTATGTTTGCCCCTTTCTGGAGGTGAAAACTCGGTTTTTTGTTTCAGGGCGCTGTCAGTGCACTCGAAAATCAACCGATCGTGAATGCTGTCATTGACGGAGACGACATTATCTATCGGGATTACGTCGATATCAGCATAGCTGTTGGTACACCGAAGGTATTCTCTTGTTTCTTTCGGTATACTTCAATTCACGATTTTGCTAAAACTAATTCGATTCTGCATCTGAAGAGAAGATATTACATTATCTCTGTTTTCTAACATGTTCGAGGTACCGTTTTCGCCTTCTAGGGACTCGTTGTTCCCGTACTCCGAGGTGCAGATAAGATGAACTTTGCCGAGATCGAAAAGGAAATCAACAATCTGGCCAAGAAAGCAACGGCTGGCACTATATCTATCGATGAGATGGCCGGAGGCACATTCACAATATCTAACGGTGGCGTTTATGGAAGCCTTTTGAGCACTCCGATCATTAACCCTCCTCAGGTCTGATTCCCCGATTTTTTGTTTTGATGAACCCGAAACATAGGGTAGTAGGGTGTTTTCCACACGTTTTTCTCATGCCCCGAGGAATTCTACCATATAGTTTCGCACAGCGGTTTGATTCCTTTCATGATTTTTTGGCTTTTCACAGTCTGCGATTCTCGGGATGCATTCAATAGTGAACCGTCCAATGGTTGTGGGAGGAAATATCGTGTCGAGGCCGATGATGTACATAGCACTGACATATGATCACCGTCTGATAGACGGGAGAGAGGCCGTGCTCTTCCTCCGTCGCATCAAAGACGTTGTGGAGGATCCCCGAAGGCTTCTTCTTGATGTCTAAGCCGCTTTTCCGACTCCCTCCGAGGTAATCTTCGAGTTCCCGATACAACCTCAGAAGCTTTGTCTTGTGGAATTTTTTTCCCGCGTTGAAAACGAATAAAACGGTTTGTTAACCAGAAAATTTTCGGGTGTCCGAAAACAAGAGTTCGTAGACACCAACGTTTTGTTGTTATTCCGGTTGAGTTTTCTTTGGTGTTAACCTAAATATATTATCGTTCACATCTCGCTTAAAAAGCCGTTTTGTAACTGAAGTAACTGTAGCTCTCTCGGCTGTAACATTGATTCATTACCAAGACCTGAAAACAGCAATTCCCGACCCTTAAGATGAGATCGAGGGGGTGAAGCCGAAGCCGAAGCCGAGGCCGAGGGTGAAGTCGAGGTCAAGACTGGATAGCCTGAAAACTCGGGTAAATGCAATGTGTTTGTAGTAATAGCACAACATCACATCCAAAACTTTGTTCTGTTATCCGAAAAAATCGAGGACGAAATCAAGATTCGGGCATAAAAACGATAGAACTAAAACGGAGTAAGCATCGAAAATCATCGATCATTTTCCGACAAAAAGAAAATACAGAGGGATTGTAGTATTTCTTCGGGAGGAGCCTGTCGTACGGCTTTTCACGGACCAAGATCTTCACATTGTGATCTTCATATATAGAAGAGGATATTATCTGAGGTATTTTTTTATAGTAAAAAATTATCTCAGGCTATTTTATTCTAAAGGTCACGACTTTCATGGACTCAAACGACGTCGTTTAAGAGTACCAAAGTCGCCGTTTCTCATTTCGTGTGCTGGAAAAATCTTGAGCCTTTAGATGGATTCAAATATCGGATCTTTTCGCAGCCATTCAAACTATTCGTGGCTTCAATTTCACCTTCTAGATTCTTTATTCAGTTGTTCTTTTCCTCTGTGTAGATGTACACACATACAGAATATATATATACACTCGTCGTGTATCTATAGCTTCTTCTTTTATCCAATCCGAAGTCTCACAGGAATTTTGCTATAACTCAATCTGGGTTTCTCAAAAGGGTAAGTAAGCCTTTTCGAATCTCTTCCTTGTTAGATGAGACTCGGCTACAGATTTCTATTGGCTCACGCTCCAAAGCGTTGATTCTGCTTAGATTCTGGTGATTTGTTATTGTAGTCCATGGTTTCGATCAAGGGTTTCTTTCTAGTTCTTAAGATCAGATTTTTTATTTTTTTTTTAAATAGCGTTTCTTCTCAGTCAGTGATCGAAAGTTTTGCAACTTTGAATTCGTTTGAATGGAAAACCAAATAAAAAATTTCATTTGTAGCATCTCTAACAATATCATTCCCACTGAGGTGAAAAGGGTATGAATGTTCACACAAAAGACATTACTTGTCAGAAACTGCAGTTTCTTGGGATCCATAACGTTTTTTTTTTTGCTGTTCTTACGCTCTTTTTGTTGCAGATTAAGGCATTTGAAATGGTTCAGAAATGTTGACTGTTTATCCTTCGGGATCTATCAACAATTGCCAAGCTTTTCTTGGCAGCAATGCAATTGCCAATGCTTTTTTCTGCAAGATCCCACCTTTTGGCCCTGAAATCAGCCGTTCTTCTTCACCCAGATCACGAATTCCCCGGATGAATTCGACATGTTACCATTCGTCTTTCTCTCCGAAAGATCGTAGTCAACTAAAGAGATGGATGGTCAGCACTCTTAAGATTCTTGTATGAATGTTCGTCCTATCTCTTGGATACAAATTTGTTGACGAGGTGTTTTCGATTTACCGCAGTGTCGTTCAAGCAGTTCCATCTCGCCGGATGATGAGTACCGTTCATCCCGAAACATAGCCATAAGTCTGTTAAGGCGATACAGAAGTGTGATTGACCGTGGTGCAGGCAATACCCTAAAGGTTCCGCGTCCCCGGGATTTTGTTCCAACCGTTCTTTTCGTATATCTAACCTTAAACATTATCGGGTTTCCTTGAGATTTCTATTAGGAATTCATATCTGCCGGTGTGAACGCATATGCACTTGGATGCACCGATGAAGGTTTAAGAAAAGAACTTAATGCTATAAAGGAGTCGGGTATGGAGATCGAAGGAATGGAGAGTGACAGCGGAAGCACGAGAACCAAATCCATAATTTCCGTGGATGAGGTATAAAAATTAGCACTCTCTAGTCCGATAGTTGATGTTTCATCGTATCTTAAAAGCGTATCTATTTCACTAATTCCATTTGCCTGGTAAAAACGAGACAGCGTTTTAGATTACACCTTTTGAGATCATACCCGGATCTTTATATTTCTGCGAGTTTCACCATATATATCCGAATGCGAATCCGAAAATTGCCTTGGATGAGGGTAAATTAGCACTATCTAGATTCTAGATCCATTTCAATTCAATCCCATTCCTCATTACCATTGGAACTATGCTTGCTATAAAACAGATTGTTCTTGGGACACTGTTATAAAACATATGAGCTGAGCTTTATGTGCAGGTGGATGAGTGTATACTGTGGCTGAGCATCGTGTTCATCACGATACTGTGTACACCTCAGCCAACGATAGTCAGATGGTCCTCGACTCCCCCAGTCTCCGACGATATCCAGCGCGAATGGAGAGGCTTTTGTGCAGTCATAGCTAATGCTTATTACCTGAGGGGAATGGCTTGGTACGTTGAAAGAAATCGAAATTATCGCAATCCCGAATTTTGGATAGCCGAGTGTTTAGACGAGCAAAATACCCCGAGGTATGTAGACGAATTTACTGAAATGCCCTTGGTTCGGAACGTAGGCTTCCGGTGAAGACTCTTCAGTTGGAGCAGATGGCGGTGACGGGACGAGCCGAGGAGCCGTCGGTCGTTGCAAGCAGAATGCGTCTTGTCTTCAGCACTCTTGAGGTTGTAAGAAAATATGAAGTTTTTGTTACAAACGTTTTACGATTTTGATTTTGAAACTGTGTTCTTGCAGGTTGTGAGTCCACAATGGCCAAGAGTTTAGATCTTTGGGGGGAATAAATCCGTGGAAGAACCTGTTTTTATTATTGGATCTTTCAATGTTATATCGTTCATTGTGTATAAATAAAATATACTGTGTTTTCCACTATTTTTCATTTTGATCGATGTATATCTCTCACGTAATCACAGATTATTGCATATATATATATATAATTAGTAGCTAATCTTGCTTATGAAGAGATTAAACCAAAGAGCCAACTCACAATCTCTATTTTATTCAACTTAAGACGCAAGCAAGCGACTTACTAGGAACCCTAGAAATGGAACACAGACGCACAATCGCTAGAATTTTTCAAGGCAAGCCGCCTCCGAACCCACCACCCGCACCTCCACCGCCGCCTCCGAGTCCGCCTCCTCCTCCTGCGCCGCCGCCGCCTCCTAGTCCGGCTCCGACACCGAGGCCAGCTCCAATGCCAAGCCCACCAACACCGAGGCCGGCTCCTCCTCCGAGGCTGATGCCGAGACCGCCATTTCCGCCGCCGAGGCCATCTCCGGGATAGAAAGATTTCTGGTCATTGAATTGGGCCGGATTGTGATCCAGGATTCTTGCTCCGACATTGTTGGCGAAGACGAGAGTTGCAAGTACACACACCAGAAGTATAGTGTAAGTGGGCTTCATCATCATGGGTTTTGTCGTGAGATGGTTTTTGTTTTGTTTTGCTGTCGATGTGGGAGTTTTCTTACAAGATAATAAGGGGTATATATACACACACACATATACGTATGTGCATGTGCATTAATGTAAACGGTGTTTTGATGCATGAATGTAAATATATTGCGACGTCAAAACAAAAGTTGGTTAATTCGTATCAAGATAAATGAAATAAATCGAACTTTTAGATTAATGTAACAATAAAAGCTAATCTTAGGATTAAAATTAATCAATACGCTAATGAGAGGCAAAGCTAATTCACCAACTTATATCAAGTCTATATTTCACGTAGGTTAAATAAAAAATCATGCAAAAGTAGATGACATATGCCGTGGTGGATAGGCAATACGACCATGGAGACCAACAACCCCACCGTTTCAGATGTTGAATTTATTGTTTTTTTTTTTTTGAATTAAGATTTTGGTCCCCTTCGACCGACGTCAACCGGATTAAAAAGAGCCAGACCGGTTGATTTCAGGTCGGTTTCGTTTTTACACCCAGTTAAACCGGTTCTCGCACCTAATTTCAGTGATCGGTTTTGATGAATTGCTTGGCTACCATATACATGTGATCAGTGTAATGCAGGGTGGAACTGGATTAACCATACCAGACTATTCTTGGTTTGGTTCGATTTAACCATTCAATTAAACCGGTTCTCTCTCTTCATCGGTTCTATTTTATAAACATATACACATCATGTCATAGGTCTCACATGATATGATGATATATATATATATATAGAAATTTGGTGGATCCATTTATGCGTTTGCATTTATGCCTTTACCTATATAGCCACCAGATACCACCGACTGCATTACAATGTACACAACATCCACGTGACAGAGGCCGGTTTAAGGAGGGTAAATACCGAACCGAACCATAAACCGGAGGAAAACCAACTCAACATAATATCAAACTGGTCACCAGATATTTCAGCATAGAGTTTTAAGCTCAATACAAGGAGCTTACAGATAAGAACTCCCTTTATTTATTTATTCAGATCAACACTGACTTCATGACTTCATTTACCTCATAAATTCATAAGATTTTCATGTCCGGACAGTGTAGATGTCGGAACAGATCGCTCTTCACTTGAGTTCCTTGAGAAAATCTTCGTTGTCGACCAGAACCTGTCGTTTAACGAGCAAACGATTCATCAAAACCCGACTGGATTCAGGAATGATTGGTAAAATGGCATGGATCATATCGATGGATACAACAAAGTTCGAGCCTTTATGCGATATATAGGCTACGATACATTCCATTTTTGGATTTTCGGTTGTGTTATTCGGTATAACTACAACCTCGACTCGTTCAGCATTTGCTTTAACATAAACCTGACTGGGAAACCAAGTTACAAACCCTTTAATAAGGCAAACCCGTTTTATCTATAGACCCGATGAAAAGCCCCTAGAAGATTCCACCAGTTCTCAATCTCAGTTTCTCGGTTCAGTTTTCGGTTTCAACAAGTAGAACCTTGCTCAATGAATGGGTTTCACGATGGCTATAATACCATTCAGTTTTATACCAGATTACTCTGAAATGAAGATCGAAGGACAAAAAAACTTACGGTTTTCCAGCCATCTGGGTCAAGAAAAGAGGTAATCTTGGTGCCGAGTCCAGGAAGAGGTCCGGGTTCTCGGGTGATCTTTCCGCCCAGCTCTTGGTTCACCAGTTTGATAACCTCAGCACTTTTGTAGACATCATCAGTGCTTATAGCAACCTGTTATTACAGTTGCCGTAATAATCAAGAGAGCGAAACGAGATCAAACGGATACAAGAGACATATATTTCATTCTCATTCTGACCTGCGCGTAAGCATTGCCCTTTGTGTACTCAGTCACACCATAATTATAAGTCAGCTCCAGAATTGTTGATTCGTATTCCTCAGCGTATCCCATGATAGCTATGGTGTACTGTAAAGAACGCATTGTTACAACATATTTGATAAAAACAACATCATTCACCGATTTAGTTCACCTTGTATTCGGGTCTTTCAATTTTCCTCAGTAGTCTCATCCCGAGGGCCTGCAGGATAGAGCGGACAAAACGTTTAGGATATTTGACCGAGCAATAACATGAAAATAATCTTCTCATTTCGTTACCTTTTCATAGAATTTGATGGAGCGGTCCAGATCACCAACACGAAGCATAACTTGACAGAGTGGTTCAGGAGTGGGACCCCTCTGGATGAGCTCGAAAGCGTAACCATCGGGATCCTTCACGAAAGCAATGACGGAATTTCCACCTTTGACTGGACCGGGTTCCCGGGTCACATTGCCACCCTTTGCACGGATGTCCTCAACCATTTTGTAGACCTACAATGCATAATCCAGTCTCTATTGATGAGCATCATCTTCAGACATGTCCATTCATTGTCTCTTGAGACATAAAGAACAAGCAGGTGGTGAACTTACATCTTGAGTTGCAATGGCGAAATGGCCAAATCCAGTTCCGATATCATATGAGCTAACTCCATAATCTGCAAAAATTAAAAATGGCCGGTTCGATAACCAGAATGGCATAGCACCTATCACTAAAACACCAACTATACGACTATACATGGGCATTATATCAAAATACCCTTTATTTGCTATTTTGACTTCAACTCATACTATTACCCAACTGTGACCATGTGACCAGAATTACAGTCTGATCACATGTTGGTCACAATAATCATAACGTTAAATTTATGATGTTTTTATCAAATGATTAGTGAGATATGCAAGGGATGAACATAATGAATTAGTGTGATCACCATAAATTTAACGTTATGATGAATATGATCAACATGTGACCAGACTATAATTCTGGTCACACGGTCACAGGTGGAGAAGGATATATCTTATAGTCAAAATAGCAAAGGGAAGATATTTTTGATAATGCCCCCTATACATGTTATTCAAACTTGTTTCTTAGCGCAATCTACTAGAAAGCCCGGTTTTCACAAAACAATGAGAAAAGTATGGTCTTTACGGACCAAGTATATTGTAGTGATTCTAGACACAAACAAATTGTGAGAATTCATATAAAGGTTTCCAGATTCCATCTTATCCTATACAGAAAAACGACTTAAACGTGGCAAGTTGATGCGGGAAGAAAAGCAAGTTATTTCAATGGGGAAACAACTGACATTATGAAAAATATTGAGAGTAAGAAAGCATACTATAAGTCAGCTCCACAACAAAGTTAGACTCTTCAGGACCAAACCCGAGAAAAGCATTAGCATATTTCTCCTCAGGAACATCTCTTTTCCTCAACAGCTTCATCCCAAAGCACTCAGTGTAAAATCTAGAAGGTTTTTTTGGAGAAACAAATGAATAATTTTTACAATTAAGGAGGAAAAAAAAAGAATCCATCAATGGAAGAGATACAAAGTCACATACTTGATGGTGCGGTCAAGATCACCAACTCGGTAGACGACATGGAGGAACCGGCGTTTATCCTTCTTCGGCCATTCCAACACTTCAGTGTTCAGAGCCTCAGACATGTTTGAAGCCAAAGTGTCAATTCAACTGATCCAATCTCACAAAAAAAAACAACGAGGAATCAGAGACAATGTAGCATGAACCGGAAAGAAAGAGAGAAACATCCAGGAAGTAGTAAAAGTTTTCCTCCTTTCATCTCCACTAATTTCTCTCACCCGAGGGACATTTATCACAAATATGAATCCAATTTTCAATTATCATTTCGTAAAACCTGTATTCAGTTGAATACAGACATCTGCCGTCAATATAGAGAAACCATAACCCTTGGAACTATGAAATACTTCTACCTATCGCATGTATGTTGGCCATAAAAACATATTAACTTGCAAAACCAGACATGTTCATTTCCCGGATGAGAATATGAACATAAAAAGAAAGAACATTGAAATAAAAATGGAGGCTTCTTAAATGTTGAATCATCTCCAAGCGCAACAGATTTCGGACATAACTCTTCGATTAACGTGAACATCAAAAGAAAATTGCAAACAAAACACAATTGGTACAAAAAGAAACCCGAAATTCTTCGAATTTTATGCAAATTAGGCTACAGAATCAACCCAAAATGTCGGTTCCAAACATGTCCACGAGTTGTCGAGATCGCAAAATCGAACGCAAGATCCATAATCGAAATTACGGAAGAGTAACAAGCCAGATCACATATCCGAACGCAAGATGAAGGGAACCCCAAAATCCAGAATCGAAAAACTCAACCAAAACCATTGGACAGCTTATCCGAAACTTACGTGGAAGAAACTGTATGATTGAACCAGCTATGGAGATGCCACTACAAAAACGGTCGGAGAAGAAATCATTACTTCATAGGAGCTTCTAGGTCTCCGACAACACATTTTGCTTGATTACGGTCTGTGAAATTACTAATTCATGACGGACCAATTATAACCGTTGGATGAGTAAAGAGGAACGACTTTAGGGTGACAGTCACGAAAAAAGGTAACAGTCATATGTCATGAGTCGGATTCACGTAACGGTACGAGGATTTGACGTTGCCACGTGGCAAAGGTTTCGTATAGTCATCACTCGTAATAACGGAAGATTACGTATAATTTTTGAGAATTTTAATGATTATGACGTCAAAGAGTGGCATACTCTTGAAAGCCAATACATCATAACAATCAAAATCAGACTGGTTTTACATAAATCCATACAAGTGGACACCATTACAATGTTACACGTGGCACTAGAATTTCGGGCAACCAATCACAACAAAATCAAAATCCAAAAAAAAATTATAAAAGGAAAAAAAAAATTAGATTCCTAGATTTTATTACCGAACATCACTCACTCACCAAAAGGGTAACAAAAACAGAGACGAAGTTACGAGAAACATAAGACTCAGACATCCACCGGAGAGATTCGCCGGAGATCCTCCTCCTCCGGTGGGCACTTGGGTCGAGTTCACCACCGTCTTCGTCTTATTCCCGACCTTCTTGCTGAAAAAGAGGGGAAAAAACGCCCGGAATCATACATATATCGAGCAGAAAAGATTCGGAAAGCAAGTTTTGTTGAAATCTTGATGAACATAAACTGTGCTTCTGACGTGGTTTGTGGAGAAGATTGCTTACCTTCCCAGGAAAATACAGCTTCCATGACCTGCCAAAGAACGCAGCCCCCACCAGGTTCAGATTTCGTATGATGAAAATAGCAAATCAGGAAGCCATTTCCAGAGAAATAAACAACACAGTAACCTATCCGTTTCTATTTCTTGGCAGAGGTTTTGCAAGTTTCCAAATTTTAGATCCTGTCTGAACAAGACTATCTTTGAAGAACTAAATGCCATAAACAGCTGCCAAGTAGGGAATCTTGCTTCTGGTTCTCTCAGAAACTAAATGTATGCGGAATGTTCTAAAAGACAAGTACTAGCACATTATCAGTCAGAGTGTCCCCATGACCAACCTTCTTTACCTAAGATCTCAACACTTAGCAACTGCAGTTCTTGCTTCTTGATCACTAATACAATGAAATACCAAATCTCTACATGCCGAAGTAGTTCAGAAGCATTTCCTTGTTCCTTTTGGATAAGGCTTTGGTTCATCGATAAGGATCTTAAACTGAAAACCAGTTCTTCTCTAGACATCATTGAGCTGTCAACAACTGCTCTTATACCGTCTTTAACGATAAAAAGAGACATTCATAAAGAAAGAAAAAAAGAACTTACTTGGATCTGTAGTAGTGATCATGGCCACACCCTTGAAGTCACAAGAACCAGGAGCTTTCCTTTCCTTCTGGTAATAACTATCGAAAGCATACGAGGCATGGTTCTTTACATTATTCGGCTGATAACAACTCTCCCCAGGTTGAATCTCACTGCAATTAGCCCTTCCCGGACCACACGCCCAATCAAGTGCAGCCTGAAGTGTCTTAGAGTCCACACCGTCCATTGCTATGCAATAAGTCTGGTTCGTTGTATCATTCGCTAGGAAAGTTCCACTACCCGACACATGAAGCAAATACACCGGCGTGGAGTTCCCGTAGAACAAACCCCAGTTAGCTTCGCTCACTGGGGGTGCCCTTAGATCCTCGTTGAACAACTCATATATGTAAACACTCGATGTCATTTCCGGGTGGAGAGGAGTGCCAGTTCTATCGAATACATGCTTGATAAGATTGGAGTTATATGTATCAGCATTGTCTATAGTGGCATACGGCTCTTTGGAATCACCCTTCGATGGCCACCCGCTTTCAGTCACGAGAACGGCCACATCAGTCACGTTGAGGTTTTTCATCGAGACATAAGCAGCATCGATCATGGCATCCAGCACATTCGTGTAATGCAGTAAAGTGTTTGGATCGACCATTTCCTTAGATGGTGTCAATGGTTTGAACAAACAATTGTCCAGTGGAACCACGCCTTTGTTCTGCATAAACACGTAGTAAGGATAGAGATTCATCATCAGAGGAGAACCAGTTCTTGACAAGAACTCGAGCAATGGAACCATAACCGAGTTCCAGGTTTGGTTAAAGAATGCTTGAGACGGCGGGAACGTATCAAGCATGACAGAAGCAGCATGCGGTGTGGAAATCTTGATCTGGGTATGGAGATTTGCAGCAACCAGAGCATTGTACAGAGACTCCATTGCAGGTAACAGCAAAGGAGCTGAAGAAGGCACCGTCGTCAAAACCTCGTCCCCGACAGCAATGGCTGTGATTAGGGTTTCGGGATAGTAAGCGACCACATTGCGACCAATCCAAGATGCAGCCGTGCTGTTCGAGGATCCAATTGCTATAAGCTGATTGTTGGGCACACTTATTATGACCCTGATCTTGGTTTTGGCCAATGCTCTGAGCAAATCAGGATCAGCATCATATAAACGCACATGATTTACCTTCTGGGCTTGCAGGAATCGAACCAAATCCGTCGGGGCTAAGGGATTGGAGACATCCGAACCAATGTTGAACCCAACAAAGGGCTCTTTGTCCTGTTCTTGCTGTTTAATCTCTTCAAACCACAGTGATGAATTTACTGCCGAGATTAAAAAGCAAGAAGCTAGTCACAAAACTGGGATCGATTAGTGCAACAACATGCATTGACAAGCTGCATTGATCTGTTTGATTTTAATACCAAAGTCTAGAACTTTGCAAGGGTTTGAGCTTGGCTTTTTCTAGAATCTGGGTTCTCACCAAAAATAACTTGCACAAGTTAATTACATTTGGATAAACCCTTCGGACTAAAAAATGGGTTTTCGAAAAAAACTTCAACTTTGCAACAATTACAATCCAAGCGGGCGGGTTTATTTGGTTAAAAGCTCAGTGTTGCAGTTTATTTCTTATCGAACCAAAAGCCATTAACGCGCTGACAAGAAATGCTACCAGTGGAGAATCATCAAACTCACCGGAAATCAAAAGATGGAGAAAAAAGAAGACGAAGAGAGCGGAAATGGCGGAAATCATGCTAGAGACCGCCATTGAAGAGGAGTTCGAGCTTCTTCTGCAATTGTTCCCCTTCCGGTTCCGATTCAGACACAGATCCTTGCATATTCGTCTCTTTCTTTAGGGTTTCTACTATTCTGCGGAAGCGAGAGAGAAGAAAGTGATTGAAGATAAAAGAGAGAGCATTTTTTTTGGTTTACTGAAAAAAAAAAGTGAGGTTTTTTGGTCTGTGCTTCCCCGTGAAATGAATATAGCCTTTGCTTGCTGCAGGACTGGTTGATGTCAGTCTATAAGCAAATTACCAAAATATCCTTATGGACCGACAGCTCGACACATCCTTTGCGCATAGGATTTTTGTTTTTTTTATTTATTCCTTTTTTTTCCTGCAAGTAATAATTTTTTAAAAAAAACTAATAGACATGGCGCATTATATATTATATTTCCATTAATATTATATTTGTTTTTTTATTTATTCCTTTTTTTCCTGCAAGTAATAATTTAAAAAAAACTAATAGACATGGCGCATTATATATTATATTTCCATTAATATTATATTTGTGACGTTAATTAGTCGTTTGTACTTTTTACGTTCGATTTGTTTTTTTTTTTTTGTAAATTTCCTGCCTAGCTTTTTCATTTAAATTTTGTTGTACTTTAAAATTTTCGAAAATTTTCATCATTACAATAGAATCTGGTCGAATTTGCAACAAATTACAAATAAAAAGTATGAAAAAATATGCTTACGTCACAATTGAAAAAGACTGAACTTCTCATGAGCTTCTTTATTTAGCCTAACCATATTAATATCATGATATTTTTAGTTTTTCTAATATTATGATGTCATAGTCCATTGTCCAAATATATAAATGGAATACATTTGCATTATCTAATTATTATATATATAAATATATCGAGGCGTTTCTACAATCATATCAAAGTTACAAAAATAAGTGAGAGGGAAGTGGCATTTAATACTTTAGCATTTATAGAATCTGATAATGTCTTTGTCGATATATTTACATAAAGATCACATATTTTTATTCCAAGGCTTAAATAAACTAAAAGAGTAAAAGGGTTGCAAAGAAAATAAAATTAAAACAAAAAAAAATCCAATTTTTTTGTAAAGAATGGGACATTAAATTCGACCTATATTTTCGGATGTAGTTAGGCCTTTGGAATTATTCCGTTGTAGGATTATCATTAGATTGGACTACACATTGTTACTCCATTATTGACATCACAAGTCATATCTTTTTGTTATCAGTAGAGATTTTGGTGGACCATATAGTCTACACCACATTATACTGAATTTAACATTATGGTAAAACATTCATATATATACACACACATACATTGGAATATAACTCCGGAAAAGAAGCACCACTTTCTGGAAAAGTTGCAAAATTTTGTCATCAGATTCCCTCGTTTTTTTGTTAATGTATTTAAATATTTCAGGGAATATGTATGGACTTATTCTTGAATATGAGATAAAATCGGGATTATAGGAACATTGTGTTTTTTCTCTTGAATTTAGTAGTAAAATTAAATTGAAATGCAACATAGATCCTATAATATGCTTACACATACACACACACATATATATATATATATATGCATTAATCCATGAACCAGTTTCATCTCAGTGTACACGCCTAAACGAGGAATAAACTGAACTTTCGGACAAAGATCTCATACAAACCCAAGATTGTGTACAAACACAACACAATGTACAAACAAACAAACAAAAAGACGGAGCCTTTTGATACTCTTTTTGATCCATAACTAAGATTCGGATGAATCATTACTTCATCTCGATCTAAAAAAAAAAAGTAGCCTTTCTTTGACGGATTTCATCTTCGGATTTCCCGGTTCTGTCATCGGAGCAAATTCACGAACGACGTGAGCGCATCAACGTCTCTCTTCTCCGACGGGTACTTTATCGGCTTCGAAGCGCTTTTCGGGAAGAGAAGGATCGTCGGAAAGCTTCCCAGTTGAAGTTCCTTCTTCGCAAACTCCTTCTGATCACCGTCTGCTCTGAATTTCGCCACCTTCACTCCTTTTCCGGCGAGTTTCTCGGCCAATTCCACGTACGATTCCTCCATTGCCTGATCATGTCATTCGCAAACCCATAAAGACATCAGATTTCTCAGTCTATGCTCGATCGCCACAAGAGATAAGATCGAGTCTGTTACCTGACAGAAAGGGCACCACGGGGCGTAGAGGACGACGATCCATGGCTCTTTTCGGTTCTCTAGTTTCATCAGATTCTCGATTCCTGCTCTGCTCAATGTAACCAAGTTCTTGCTCTCGAATATATCCTCGACAACTGGTGATTTTCCATGATTATCTCCGCTGTCACCATTAACGTTCTCCTTGATGTTCCCCTTGTGCAAACCACATTCCTTGGCCTTAGCATCTTCCCACCACCACCTTCCTTCTCTCTCGTGCTGCCCTGGAAGCACCGCCCTCGTGCATGGCTCGCACCCGATCGAGACGTAACCCTGAGCGTGCAACGAGTTCACCGGCACGTCCATTGTCCTCAGGAAGTTCCAAACGTCACCACCATCCACATTAGCAACAGGGTTCCACTTAACCAGACTACCGATCCCACCGTCCATTCCTTCAAACACAGGATCGACCTGCACGACGGGGATCTCGGATCTCGTCCCGGGAGATTGATCTTTCCTCTGCCCGGTAATCCAAGCACGAAGACCCTTCAGGGCACGACGCAAGGGTCTTACTTTCCTCACACGACAACACTCTTGATGCCCATCTTCGTAGAAAGAGAACAAGCCCTTGCTCCTCACCAATCCTTGAACTTCAACCGCATCAGGAAACATGTATTCGATGCGAATTCCGTAGTGTTTCTCGACGGCATCGAAGAACCTGTATGTTTCTGGGTTAAGCCTGCCGGTGTCCAAGCTGAAAACCCTGAAGGGTCTCCCAGTTAAGCGAGCATACTCGATCAATGCCACATCTTCTGCACCACTGCAAAAGAGATCAGATTCATGTATCAGTTAATATTCTGTTTCATTTGCCACACAAATGGTATTCCGTCATCAGAAATTTCGATTACCTGAAAGCGATTGCGATGTCGTTTCCGAATTTCTCGAGAGCTTTGTCCATAATTTCGAGCGGAGAAGCATTGTTGAGTTCCTTTGCGAGCTGACCGAAATCCTCGACGGCAACCTTCTCTTCCACTTCTGTAAAATTCGAACCATCGAATCAGCACAAACAAACAAACACGGCAGAGAAATCACCAGAATTGGGGAAACATAATCGAATCTTAAATGTCAACGCACCAGGAGAAGCAGATATAGTTGCGGCTCGAGGAACAACGGATTCGCTGCGTTTTAAGGAGGAGCGTCTCTGAGACATGTGCACGACCGACGAAGCTGCGACATGGGTTCGATCCGACAACCTCAGAGAGCGGATTTGTGGAGCTGCAAGAGGTAACCCGAATTTGAATTTTCAATTATTTCAAAAAGCCCACTTGAATTACAGCCAAATATTTCCATTTCACCAGATAAATTCTGGAAATTGGAGAAAATGTTCTCAAATTTCATCCCGTACGTCTCGAAATCCCAGAAAACAGGGGAGGAAGTCATGTCCGAATCCTCCAACAAAACCAACCCACAGCAATTTACCAGATGAAATTTATATAAAAAAAAACGCAGATAGATAATCAATTAAGCTCATGCGGGTACCGTTTGATTGCCGAGAAAAGGCGAAAAATGGGAGAAAAATAGTACCTTTAGGATCGATAGAAGATCCTAAACGCGAGAAACTAGTTCCAGAGATCGCGGTTGAAGAAGAAGTAACAGCTAATGCCATAACTAAACAAAAATTTTCTCTCGAACTCGAACCCAAAGAAGAAGAAGAAGAAGAAATTTGTCCCCTCTGATCAAAAGATTATTTTTTTGTTCTTTGATCCTTCGGCTTGAAAGATCGAGCGTTAAATAATGGCCAACCGTCCAATGCCTAAAGAATCTGGACGCTATTACGGCATGATTCGTATCGATGACGTGTACAAATTTTATTGGATAATGTCTACCTCACGTGGCGAGCAGTAGATAGATGTGGCAGCTTCAAATAGCAGCTGCGGAGAATTTTGCAATGAAAAAAAATGGCTTTATTTTGTTCCTCAGAAAATTCCCTTTATTTAGAAATTTTAAAAAATATATATATTAGAATTAAAACCTGAATTATTTTATTTTCCCCTTTAAACCTAAAATTAACAAATTAATCCTAAATCCTAATACGCTTGCACGAATCTCTAGAAGAGGAAAAGCCTTTTAACAGTATAAAAAAAAGGAGTGATTTGAAAAGATTTAAAAAAAGTAAATTTGTTTTAATGGATACATACAAAATCAATAACAATTTTCTATAGAAAATTTGTGTTGAGTATAAAATAGGCACAAAATGTTTAATACACAAAAAAAAATAGCTTAAAGAAGGTCGATTCTTTTACGTTTTTTCACAAATTTATTAATTTTTATTGATTTGTAAAACTCATTTATCTCAATAAATTATATCAAAAATAATAACAAGAACGCCACTTTGAATATAATGTTTGACTAGAGAGACATATCACTAATTAAAGGTTAAATAATTTTATATATTTAAAATTAAATTATTTAATTTTTGCGGCGGCTCAATATTGTCCGGAATTAAACGGTGGTTCAAAGGCAATTTCAAATTGCAGAGTTGGTCCCATCCACTAAGACTTTGGTATCACCACCAAATCTACATGTTCTTCTTCTAACAAGTTTGGCAAAATTTTGGAGAACCATTTCAAAATATTTTGAATAAGATTTGTTTTCTGTTTTAAAACTTGTTTCATTAAAATATATAGCTCTAAAACTTTATGCTAAAGTTTCATGTGTTTTATTAATAAAATTTAAAATTTTATTTAATTGATTGGATTTTGGTAATAACAGTAAAAAATAGACCTTAGGTTTTTTCCAACCTTTGATTTCTTTGGAATTTGTACACCGATGGCGTGCTTAAAATATCTGGTCCATTACACGTCCCATCATTTTTTTTTCTTTTTGAACGTCAGAAAAATAAATTTAATTTCGTGACCACATTTTCGAATATAAAAAAAAATGAGAGGAGGAAGATTTAATTATCTACACATCCTTTTTAGTCTTTTCTTTAAATGATTTTTTATTGGAATTAAATAATTGTGGTGGGTGAAGATGGCAATCTTGACTTGAAGACTTTTGAGGCTGAACAAAGGCCCAATGAATCAATAAAATAAGGTTGTGTAATTCAGTGGATATTTTAATAAAATTAAAACCATTTTGTATTTTATGTGTATTTTTATTATTATTTTTTGGTTGGCCATGCACCAAATATTTATGAAACACTCTCGCGTATTAGGGTTCTTGAGTTTTTTAGATTTTGGGATTGAAAGTCGGTCCATATTGTTCGAATAATCGTAAGATGTCCCAAATGTTCGGATATTTGCTGCTCAGTCAGAGGGCCGAAATACCATTTTACAATTTCGAATAATTAAAATTTTGATCTTAAAAAGATTTTCTATATGTTATTTAAATGATTCATCAGTTACAAAAAAACTCTGAAATAAGAATATCGCTTGAACACAAATTGCAATGCAACATCATAAACATTAAAAAAAAAAATCAATCAATTAGGATTTGTACATTCGTGCTATGGTTCAGTGGAATGCATGAAAGTCTTCTCCGACCAAACTAAAGTCCCTCTTCTGTGATCTCTCTCTCTCTCTCTCTCTCTCTCACGGAGAAGGAGAGATTCTCGGAGTGCGGTGCGTGGCTTCTTCGCCGGTGGAACTAAAAACCCTAGAATCAGTCTTATTTTCTCATTCCGCCGCCGATTTTTTTTTTTATCTTTGATTCAGGTTCGGGTATTGTGGACAGAATTTAAGAAAAAGTTCCGATCTTTGGCGTGGATTCCTGCCTATTAGTTCGTAAATTCGTGAAATCGAATGAACAAGCCCTCTCACGGAAACGTACGGGAACCTTCTCTTTTCGTCTGTATTCTTCAAAAAACATGGACTGTTTGCTCTTCCATTTCCTCTGTTTGTTCGATGAATTTGTCAATTTCTTGTCCGTTCAACGGTTGTATTGTCCGATTTGATATCCTGCTTAAGACTCAAATTCACCCTAGTTGATGTTCATACCGTATTTCGGATCCCTTTTTTTTTTGTTAAAACCTGACTTTTCTGTACTTTTTTTTTATTGTAATTTGGGTTTTTGGGTTTCTCCCGAAATGCAGATTCATGGATTGGAATGACGGGATAGAGCTTCTCAGTTCTTGGACTGGTCATGTGAGCTTCTCTTCCCTCGTTAACTTTGTTCTTTAGTTTCCATTGAGGCTTTACTTCAAGCTTTGCCCTGTTTCCTGTCGGAATACGTGTTATTGAGAATGGAGGGTTAGTGATTGATGTCTCAGAGCCTCCTGTTGAATCCAAATGGTCTGATTATTCATAATCGTTGAAGTATACAGATTTATCATACTTACAGAGTTCCTGGATGATTGGAAAAATGGCATTAGCTTACCTTCTGGTTGATCCATTGGCTTATGTTCTTGTTCTCAGATTGGAAACCTTGGCCTCCACCTGCTATGGCGTTTCATACACATTGTGTTGAGCTTGTGGTTCATAGTCTCGGGTACAGTCGAGACACTCGAGTGCTATCTCATATCGTCGGGACTGATACAGAAGTACCGTTCCATCCATACCGAAAAACTCCGGTATCTAGCGATTGTGGTTGAAAGCGAAGAAACTCGTGAAATCTCAAAGGTTTTGGAGCTTCTGCGGTGGCTAACGGCGATCGGGGTTAGGCGAGTTTGTCTCTTTGATTCACAAGGTGGCTGATCTTAGCTCATCGAGCTAATTATTTGCCAATGCAAGTTTATTTTTACGCTCTTTTGAAAGTTTGTTTCTTTAGGTTTATTGAAGAAATCCAAGGATTTGATCTTGGGAACCATTTCGGGTTCAACCCTATTAGAGGTAAAGTAGCTATTATCGCTTTTTCATGGCAGTTTCTCGGAACGTTTCAGCCTCGTGAAAGCTAGCCATGCTTCAATTGCACCGAAAGGAAGTATCGGTGGATGATTGCTCTCAAATTCTTACCTTTTGATTTGTTTTTGTTGTGTTCATAGGAGGTTTCTGAGAAGGATTCTTTGCCTAACCGAAAGGGTATCACTTTAGAGTTCATCTCGTCATCCGACAACAAAGACGCTGTGGCTAAAGCGGCAAACATACTTCTTCAGAGATGTTTAAAATCCATCGATTCGGGAGAAAACGTATTCACAGAAACTCACTTGAGAGAAGCGTTAAAAGCCGTCGGTCCGTATCAATACTCTCAAATGGATTTATTATTACATTTTGTATACAAACTTATGTTCTAAAGTACTGACAGGTGACAGTGGACAAGAACCGGATCTGATGCTTGTTTACGGGCCTGTGAGGTGTCACCTCGGTTTTCCGGCATGGAAACTACAGTATACAGAGATTGTGTATGTATTTTGATAGCTTTTTTTCCGTGTTTACTCCATTCTTTTCGTTTGATTTTTGCTCTGTTCCGACATATTCGTTCGATTTCTATAGAGCTTAATCTTACCAGAATCCTCTGTTTTTGGTTGTGCTGTTTGTTTATAGGCATATGGGACCTTTGAAGTCTATGAAATATGGTTCTCTTGTGAAAGAGATCCACAAGTTCACGAGGGTACGCCAAAACTACGGTAAATTTCTTGTCTTTCCCTTCGTATATGCTCGTATACACACCTATACATACGTTGCTCGTGCATGCGTATACCCACGTCCACAGAATCCTTGACGGCGTAAAGCCCTAGATTCTGCTGATATACATGGTGATGGCTATAAAAGTTCTGATAGAAGACACTGCACCATTAGTTCTGTCCTTGATATTTCAAAGTTGTTTTCTTTCTGTTCTGACAGGCGCTTGAACGGCAATCAATGTCTTGGATCGTGCTGGTTATGTAGTGAATGGTTTCGGGTGCAGAGATCTGAAGAGCATTGAAGATATTTCACATGGAGAAGCCGCCATTGTTGTTGGAGCAGAGCTCCTGATAGAGAGGATCCACCATTCTTTCTTGTTACATTAGTTTAGGGTTGCACTACCAAGACATTGTATACATTGGTCAATATGGATGGTAATTAACCGGATTAAACCGATTCGGTTTTGTTCAGGTTATTCCAGTTTTGAATGCAAATTTGTTATGCAGAGCAAAAAGTAAACCACAACCAAAATACTATCTGAATTCATTAAACCAAACCAAGATACTTGAATACATGGTTTTATCAAGAAAACTGAACCGAATCGGCTCCGGTAAAGATTCCCCGGTTTATGCACAAATGTAATAGATACATGAACTTCTCAAGGAATTTGTGTTTTCATGACAACAGTTTTGGACAGGAACATGAACTGTCTTTGTGCATCAGCATTCACTCTGTTTCAGTACTCTGTTTCCAGAACGCCATCAAGAAGCCCGAATTCCAGCGCCTGTCAGAAGAAAAGGAATCGGTAAATAATCGATCTCGAGGAACAAATATGTATTGGCATGTATTGTAATAATAGCAACTATGGCAACCAGAAAGATTCACCAACGACTCAATGCAATGCAACCAAAGCTCATCAGAAGTAAAGATCAAGTCTTAACATGTTCTTGGTGATTGTTAAAACCGGTTTAGGTATATGAATTAGCTGTTAATTACCTCTGACACGGATAAGAAACGATCTCGTTCTGTGTACTGTTGCACTTTCTCTAGAGGCTGGCCAGTGAAAGCTGCATACATGCTGTCTATTTTCTGCAACATGATAACGAAAAGGATCATAGCTCGGTTGTAGGCTAAAAGCAAGATTTTGGGTATGCTTGAAAGATAGACAAAAAACTGGAAAAACAGAGCATGTACAAAGAGATAGATACTCACATGCCGAGCTTCCATGGCTTCATTCACTTGACGCCTCACGTCCTCCACATGGCCCTAAAACACGACGCAGAATCAAATTACTAGATAGATCTAAATGTTAACCTTTTGATGAAATCAATACTTACACCACATCCAGTTTGAGGTTGATGAATCATGATACGAGTGTTTGGCATAGCGTAGCGCATTCCCTTTTCACCGCCGGCTAGAAGAAGTGCTCCTTGGCTTGCAACTACTCCAAAAGCCACAGTTCCAACTTTAGGCTTTATCTGAGAGAGAGCATAATTAAGTAATCAGCAAAAAACCTGTAGATACTGACACAGTGACCGAACTGAAGCCATCAGCATGTTACAGAAGCTGCAAGAACTGGGGAAAAAACATAATATGTTACAGAAGCTTACCCATGACATAGTGTCATAGATTGCTAAGATCGAGTAGGTGCTACCACCGGGGCAATTCAAGTACATCTGGGGGAAAGTAGATGATCTCTCTCAGCAAAATTCACCAACACAGATCATGTTCTTGTTTATTAACAAGATAGAAGGGTAAGAGCTTTTGGCTAACCAGAATGTCAGAAGTCTCATCTATTGCAGCCAGGGTTACTAGCTGTGATATGACTCGTTGAGCAACTTGTGCGTTAACCGGCTGCCCGATGAAAATTATGCGGTTACGAAACAACACAGAGGAAAGGTCCAAAGGTCCTCCAGGTGTCATCACGAATGGCATAATTGGCGGATTCTTTGATTCCCCCTCTTCACATCTAAGAATATCAAATGGAATCGAACCGGTTTATAGATTGAAAGGGCAACAAAGATATGGTTGTGCTGCACCAATCGTGCGATGATAACCATGAATACGAGGAAAAGCAACATACTTTGAAAGGTTTATGCAATGTAATCGATACCAATATTAAAAATAGTCGACAGAGAAATCCTATCTTAGCTCAGTGAACACCGGAGAAAGTAAGAACCAAATACCAGTAAGACTGAAAACAATGAACATAAACACTAACGAGTCATAAAATTTCTTCAAAAAAGAAAAAGAAAAAGCAGTGAGGTACCACAAACCAATGGTGAGATTGGAGAAAATGGTGAATATAACAAGAGGATGAGAGGAAAAATAGACCTTTGATCAAGACCAATAGAATCCTTGTGATTGTTCTTCAAAGGGAATCCAAAAGCTTTACTTGGGAGCCCTGGAAGAGTCAAACACAACCCGCAATTAACCGCTATCTAAACTCAGACAATAACAACCATTGAGCAAAGGAGTGTGCAAGGCTACACGCAAACAAAATTACTCCTTTTAAGCAACGGGAAATTCAGTAGAAACCCTTTATCTATTCACAATCGATTGTCGGATTCAGACATCTGAGAACTACAACCAGCAAGTCGGTTCCAGTATAAAGAAGGCCTAAACCCAAACAGAGAGTAAAGGCTGAAAGTTACCAGCTTTTAGAGAATCCCCATATGGAGTCGGCAATGCGGAAATCACAAGTCTTGAAGAACTTCTACACAAAATCAAACAGAGAGAAGAGATTTTTCGAGTCACCCAACAAAATACGGGATGTAATCAATATGACAGGAAGGTACCTGTGCGAAAGAGATGAAATGGGTTTAGGGCTCCTAATCCCAGAAGAGATGGAAAGACCGAGAGGAGATGAAATGGCCGCACCCGCCATCGACGCGCAAGTATTGAGGTCTATGTAACACGCGAAGAAAGACCAAAAGGGAAGGGACTTTGGTCGTAGATAGAAAAAGGACGACGGCACTCAAGGGCGTGTTTGGTTACGGACGGAAACGGAACCCAATAGGGTGTTTGTCGAAGACAACGCCAAGTGACTCTGCTTGGTTTAGCGGGTTCGGTTGTTAAAAAATTAGAACCCATCGGTGTACAGTGGAGCTCATTGTTTCCATGGTCTTAGATTGATTTCTAAAATTTGAAGTCGATTCTAATAATCAATTAAATGACTTAATTTGAAATGTTGCTTTCACTGGTGTCAAACGGATCAAGAATCTTGTGCAGGGGAAGAGGAAGGATTCAACTACACAACATTTACATAATTTACATAATTCGAAGTTAAATAAGTATATATGTACATGTGGAGCCATGAAACAGATTACACAGAAAAACAAGCCTAACCAAAGGTGTTCTCCCCACTGTAAGTCATGTAGAGAAACCCGTCTCTGTCTTTGTTCTCTTCATAGATTGAAGACATCAATGCAGCTGCAAGAACATAACCACCAAGGAACAGAGATGACAATGGCACACGAGCCATAGCAAGAGAATGAAAACAGTCGGCGTTAGGGAAGAGTTACATTACCAGTTGGTGGTAACGTGTTGTTGACAAAGACAAAGATGGCCTTTTCGGCGCCAAGCTTGATCCTTTTACGGACAACATACACAAACTGCCCCACGGTTAGATCAGCCGGTACAAGGTATCTGTATGTACAAAGATTCAAACGTCACAAGTCAACCGAGAGGGCAAGAAAATCCTCACAATCTTATCCAGTTCTCCTGTTTAGAATGCCTCGTTTTAGTGGCACGCAAGTGCAGGTAAACGAAAAGATCAATCCCAAAGCTCTACAATCAATGTAGTTCTACTTGTAAATATAGATGGGTCCGGGGTCATAAAAAACGGTGCAAAAAGCTCGTTGTTTCGTATTAAGGTTGCCTCTTGTTAGCAGCCATGAGTCTAATAGAAATGTGAAAGAAGGAAAAAAAAAAGAAAGATGGAGAATGCTATTTACAGACTTTTTCTTGTCAATGCCGGGGACATCACTTCTGTCAGCCTTCTCAACGATCACCTGTGATTCACAATCTCCATTACAAGAGGAAATCAACATCGAATAATCGCATTCAAGATCCAGCAACTCTTACTGGAATTCTGTCTGGATACTTCTCCCGAATGCGAGAAGCTTCAGCTTGTCTCCTCTCTGGCAAAACAAAACCCCCAAGAAGACACAAAGAATGAGAAACTATTTGCAGGAATGAGAGAATTGAACATGCAATGCAACTGTTCGAACAGGAGATTCACAGAAATAAATAACAGTATCAAAGTCACAAACCCAGAAAGAAACACTTGTACTTGATATAGATCAAACTCATCATCATCATCATCAATATATTAGTCTAATGGCTATATAACCAAATCGACATCATGCCCTTTTGGACAATAGAAGTTTCACGTACGATTACTCCAAAAAATACATGGTTTTGGATAATCAGTTAAAAACACCAGGAAATATTATGTAATCCGATCATCTCTTATACATGATAATCCACCATGATATTACACATGATACGGCCTGAATAATTTTACAGAGAGAAACAAAGATTTCACAAACTAGGAACACATCTAAGGATTAATTCAGAAACATATGGAAACAATTAAAAGGAATCCAGATGAAAACGAAGAACTTACCAAGCGGGTGTTCCAACTTGAACGAGCTACTAGCCATGTCGATTCAAACTGAATTGCTGCGAAATTGGGAACAAACCCAGAAATCAACAAACAAAATGAACCATCCAGAAACGAAACCAAATCCAGTGATCACGAAATCAGAAAGAACGTATCAAAGATTATGACTTATTTTCTTCACCAGTGTAAGAATCGATTTTGATGTACGGGTTGATCGCGAGTATCCAACCGGAGAATCAAAGAGACAAAAACAATCGAAAAGAATGCGATACCGAAATTTTACGTTACGACAAATTCGGAAACTCAGTTAGGGTTTCTTCCGCTTTCTCCAGATTCCAATCTCCAGCACGGTACTGGAATTTTGGATTTTTTTTTTCTATTCCAAAAACTATCAATTTAAAGCGCTCTCACGGCCCACTCCCAGTCCATCGGTTTGGATAACCGGATTATCATACCGGGTTTTGGTTTAGAAGAACAACGGTTCAGTTTTCATATCATCAGTTATATAAGCCGTTGTTAGGGATGTCAAATGAGCCGGCTCGGACCAGCTCGAACCAGCTCGTTTCGAGCCAGCTCATTTTCAGCCCAACTCGTTAAGCCCATTTTTATTTGGGTCAAAAAATTTCTGGCTCAGCCTAAATCGCTTAGCTCGCGAGCCGGCTCCCGAGCCGACTCATATTTTTCTAAATACCTAAAAAAAATCATATCAAATTATATAAAATCATATCCAAATGATATATCAATATAAAAAGAACATACAAATACATCTAAATCATACTTATATTCACAATCACAATCCATATACAAAAAAACATTTTCAAATAGATAAAATCATAATCCATCCATGTACAAAAAACCATTTTCAGATCATAATTCATCCATATACAATTAGATCTGAATCAATGTACAAAAAACCATCTTCAGATCCGAATCTATACATAAAAAATTATTTCCAAATCAAAATATCATACCAACAATATCAACACTTTCAAGTTTCAACATAAAATTTATTTTTTACTCCAGCTCCCGAGCCAGCTCGCGAGCCAGCCGAGCTAGCTCGTTTGGGCTCGGCTCATGGCGAGCTGGCTCACTCAGTCCATTTTTATTTGGGTTCAGATATTCTTGGCTCGACTTGATAAAAAAGGAGTCAACCTCGAGTCGGCTCACGAACTCGGCTCGTTTTGACATCCCTAGTCGTTGTTCATGGGTCATAGTTTAAGAAAACCGTCCAATAATAATACTATGTAAACCGGAATAATTAATATGGGAAAATTTTGGGTAAGTTTAATGTAGAATCCAAAAGCCATGATCGGTACTCCTAATGTTTCGTATGTTGGATTTCGATTTCTTCTAAGCTATACACACATATATATATATATATATATATGAATGAAAAAAATCAAAGGAAAATATAATATATATTTTTAAGATATAATATAGTTGAAATATAAAAAATATAAATGAATTTGAGAAAGAATATAATATTGTGACATCATAAGCCATATTATTAATTACGAGATTCAAATATTTCTGGGAGGCGTAACACATCCCACACCAACATGCCTCTGTCGCTCTGACTGGCCTCATTAAATACCAATTGAAAGCTCACGGATGGGTTGTTCTGTAAATAGAACAACAACACACAGACATATGCTTACTTACACTCATACATATGTGCTGCATATATATATATATATACCAGTATATTTTTTTATTGATTAAAATATGAGTTTGAAATTGAAAATACACTAAAAAAAAGATATAGGTGTATAACAAAATTTGTAGTCTATTATTGATTTTGTTCATTTTAAAATGATATAGTTTATACTGATAACATTAGTTTTCTATAAATATTTTTTTTGGTTTTATTTCAGATATAATTAATTTAACTTAAAACTAATATCTAATTGATTTGATTAGTTTTGATTCTATATACCAAAACCAAAATATATATCTCTAATAATATATATATACATAGAAGATATTTCGTAGAAAACATAAAAAAAATTGACAATATTTAACATTTGGTTTTTCGACCAAAAAAAAGATCCCTTGGTCAAATAAAGTTGTAGAAATTTTTAAACGCGTATCGTCTACTTGTTTGATGAAAATGAATGAAATTTTGCCTGTAAATAAATATTTATGAAAATAAGGTAAAATATATATAGGTGTCTTCATAATCATATACGATCATAATTTCTTTTTTTTTTATTTTGCCTGCCCAAAAGAATGAGTTCACTCGACGTGTTATGGCAGGTCCATTTAATACTTTCGATGTTTTTTGTAAATAGCAGATGCGATATATTTTCAATTTTAAATTTGATTAAATGAAAAGGAAAAAAAAACATAAAATTTAATACACCAACCTCCTTTATGTTGTGGGGTTGTTGGCCTAATTCAATGCCCCTCCCAATCTCTTCCATTTCTCCTCACCTCTTCGCATTTATAACCTTCTTCACTTTGCAAGCATTCAAAACAAAACATAACCCATATTCTCTCTCTCTCTCTCTCTCTCTCTCTCTCTCTCTTAGGGTTTTATAGTGTGATTTTCCATGTTGGATAATGACGAGTAATCGCTACTTGAAACCCCGGCCGGAGATCTCTCGTATTAATGTAAGTATTCGGTTCGTTTTGGGGCGTTTCATTCGTTGATTTGCATAAAGAAGTGTTAGGCTCTCTACTTGTTATATAACTTCTCGTAATGTTGTGGAATAAAATTGAATCGGTTAATAAAAAAAATACGAGATATTGGTGCGGTTCAATCAGATAATTTGTACTCTCGGACACAAGAGTTCGATTGTTGGATTGAGCCGTGCCAATATCACGTTTTGATACCATAATCCATCAAACCACTGATTTTTCAATAAATTGTTGTCTATTTCCCCCTATTAAACTGTTCTTTTTTTTAATAAAAAAACAGAAGTCAGTCGAACTAAAATACAATGCGAGATTTGTAACGGAAAATTGTTTTTATAATCGAGGTCTGATGTTTATAAAACATAAAAAAATGATATATAATATTTTAATTTCTACATAATTTTTGGAATTTAGTAGATGAATCATGTATTTAGTTTTTCTTTATGAATTGTGAATGAGGGCCCAAAGGCGTTTTGTACCTAAAAAAGATGGTTACATTATGATTTATATTTGAACTATAAAAAAAAATAATTCGTTCATTAGGTTTTTGTGAATGTGGTAGATACCAATGTAGAAATGAACTATTAGTTTTTTCTCCAGTTAGATTATGTATTATTTTTTTACAGATTTATTTTCAATTCCCGTAAATAGAAAATGCAAACCAAATAAACTTACAAACAATAACCTTTTGTCCACTTATAATATTAACTACGAATGGATTCCCCGTTTTCACTTGTTTTTTTTTTTGGGCCAAATTTTAATTATATTAGGAAAAAAAATTACATCTGTATTAGTGCCATTGAGACTGATTAAAAAAAATATGAAAATAGCCAATAAAATACTATTGTTCTACTACGAAATTAAGTCACATTTCATATTAGAAAGATGATTAGTATTTTCTAATATCATTATTACATTTAATTCAACCTTGGAAAAAAAAAACATTGATGCAAAAGAAGAGAGAGATCAGAAAAGCAAGTGGAATTAGATGAAACGGGCAAAAGAAAATTAAAGGATTGAATTTAGATCGATGTAGTTTTTGGTGGATGATGATTTTTGGTGGAATTAGATGAAACGCACCAAATCAAATGTTGCTTAATACCGAATCCATCAAACCAGTTTTCGGCTAACCTCGAACCAAGTTTTTGCAAACCGATTTTCAATTCCTCGTACGTGATAGTACCGCTCTTTTATTGATTGGAATCTACGTGTTTCAAACATTTTACTGGGGCCATTTCTTTCCTCTTCCTTGAGATTTTCCCCAAGAACCTGTAATCAAACCAAACAATGCCGACTGAACCAGACGTTACTACCCGGTTCAATCAAATCAAATGCTAAACCGAATGTTTTCTTACATATATGCTTACTTTCAATGCAAGTTTCTTGAGAGCTCGGAGTTGCTTCGTTCACGGCAAAACTGCACTATCCATAGGCCGGGTTTTTAGCGGCATCTTATATATATATATATATATCGTCTATGAAACAATATAGAACATAACGTTAGATACATAAGTAAAGGTACGTTCCTGGATCAATCTGGTGAGAGATTCCTCTTCAAGATGGATTTGCAAGTGAAACGCTTGCTAGCCGAAATCTCGGTACAAAGATACGACGATAATACCTAATTGGCCACCACTCAATTCCCTACGAAACATGTAAGAGAAGGTGATTCTGATGTTTGGGTCCTGAGATTGTTTCTTGTGGATCAGAGAAGAAACAATCTGAATGTTATGTCTTCGGAGATGTTTTGTCTTTGACGATGATGGATGGTGATGATGCTCTTTTCTTTTTTAAACTTGTCGCACATTTATGAATTATGATATAATATATAGGGAGATTCACATATTAAATATTAAATATTGAACTTTAACCAAATTTCTAAATTACGTATTCAACTATCTCACTTCCAAATTAAATACTCAACTATATTTAAACTCACAAATAAAAACTAAACTTTTCAATTTTTAACATATATCTAAGGGATAATCCCAAAACAAACCCTACACTTTTTTTTTTTCGTCGCAATTTAAACCATATACTTTTTTTATCCAAAACAACCCTATACTTTTCAAAATTTTAAAAATTATACATATTCATATATACATATTAATTAATAATTATTATAAGCACAAAATTAATTACACATTTATTTTCCACAAAATTAATTACACATTTATTTATATATTTATATGTATATATATGTTTTATATATATGTGTGATATATGTATTTTTTTCCTAAAAATCATTATATATATAAGAAACTAAGAAACTATTTTTCAAGAACATATTTTTTTGGGCAATTGAACTCATACAAAACAATATACAAATAATAAATATTTTCTTATATATATTGATTTTTAGGAAAAAATACATATATCATACATATATATAAAACATATATATATACATATAAATATATAAAATAAATGTGTAATTAATTTTGTGCTTATAATAATTAATATGTGTATATGAAATGTGTATAATTTTTAAAATTTTGAAAAGTATAAGGTTTTTTTGGATAAAAAAAAGTATAGGGTTTAAAATACGACGAAAAAAAAATACAGAGTTTTTTTTTATTATCCCTTAGATATATATTAAAATTTAAAAAGTTTAGTTTTTATTTGTCAGTTTAAATATAGTTAAATATTTAATTTGGAAGTGAGATAATTGAGTATTTAATTTGGAAATTTGGTTAAAGTTCAATATTTAATATGTGAATCTCCCTAATATAGATATAATATCTCATCTGTGATGTATTTTTCTTTGAGAGTTGAAAGATGAATTCAACATAATGCATTTTTTGTTTGATATATTAAATAATTGTTTTTGTGCACAATTTATAGTGTTGTATCTGATAAGATCTAGATATTTAATACGAAAAAATCATATTTTTTAGATTTATAATTTATTTACTAAATTCTAAATGTGAAGGAATGAATACCAGAGTATATATATATAGATAGATAGATATATATAATTAAGTATTATCACATATTTTCAGAAATATTCTTATTGATATAATAAAAATAAAGGTTGCGATTTAGTAACCCATAAAACATAATGGGCATACGAAATAGATAAGTATAAGTGATATATAATAAATGAATGGGCTATCTTAATAAACGCAACAAAATAATGGGCTCCTGCAGCCATTTAATAAAATTTATAATATATCTTATCTTATTAAAAATTATAAATTAGTGTACTTACAATAAAAAAATCCTAGATTTAAAGTAATTATAGAAATATTAAGTAATTACCACATATTTTCAGGCAATACTCTTCTCGCTATAATAAATTAAAGGTTGCGATTTAGGTTACCATAAAACATAATGGGCATACGAAATAAATAAATATAAGGAATATATAATAAATGAATGGACTGTCTTAATAAATGCAACAAAGTAATGGGCTCCTGCAGCCATGTAATAAAATTACTAAATTTTATTTCGTTCCAACAAAAAAATAGTAATCCTAGATTTTTATTAAGTGAATGGAAATAATATCCTCAGTTTTGTATTATTAAACTCTAAATATTAAAATAGAAATTATATCAATATTAAGAATAAAATTCATTACGTCAAAAAATTTGTTAGATAAAATAATTATATATTTAGTTGATTATTCATTTTCATAATTATGATATATAATATTTCATTAATTTTTTTGAAAGAAGGCATTATCTCTTAAAAGTCATATATATATATATAATTGTCTGTACTTCTTCTAATCAAATTTGAAATACTATTTTATAGAAACAGTAAATTGTTAGGAGTTCTTTCTTTAGAGTATATAATAACAATGGAATATATGCTAAAAATTGTGTTGAAACTTTGGGTGACAATATATCTTTCTTGAAGACCATTGGCTACTTATTGCGGATATGTTCCTAATTTCCAAATTGGAGGGCCATCGAGGAGTATGCGTGAGTTTGGAATAATCTTTTTTGAGTAAACATTAATTTATAGATGCAAAATATAAACGATTTTTATTTTTTTTAGTCATCAAGGATGAACATTTTTAAATATTACAGTTTATTTTTTTACTTTATTGGAATTACATGGCAATTGAGTATGAATTTGAATTATAATGATTCTAATTTTGATTTTAAATTAACATACAAATCATGTTAATTTTAAACTACATTCATGAAATAATACCAAGAATATAATTTCCGGGGGGGGGGGGGGGGGAAGAAAGAGATACAAACTTAAAATTTCAGCTAGCCAAAAAATATATTTTTTTTTAAAAAAAAAGAGAGAAATACGTTCTATCAACACTTCGTCAATAAAGCAAAGAACTTAAAAAAGCATGGAATCATTAGCCTTTTGATTTCTTCGCCATCACCATTGAAGTGGTTGGTCCACATTACGTCAAATACATAACACATATATATACCTTTACGTGACACACACACACACACATGTATATGTATTGCATATAATCACTATGAGTAACATGCATGTAGACATAAATGCCCAATTAGCATTGAGAAACCACATGTATACCACTGGCCAAATTTTCATAAACATTCGCGTATAATAGATTCAAGATTTCATATTCATCTTTACAAGAACGAAGTGGTGTAATTTCGATCGTATAGTTTACATTACGAAATTATTATACATATTCGATAATCTGATTCAACGTAACATCACAGATTCTACCGGCATTAGCGTTAGCTTTATATATACATAGATAGATAGATAGTATCTTCCCATAATTCCTAACGCAATTTATTTTTTGTCACTTAGATATGGTAAGAGTGAATAATGTAAAAGAATTTTACGAATCTCATGATATATTTGGTTATTGTACACAAAATTTAGGGTTACAAGGAAGGAAGAATGAATGGAGGAGAGAGATCAACCCGGAGAAGATAGATAGATGGTGAAAGAGATGTGGTGAGCCCACAAACGAGACTCGGTTTCAAAGGTCTTTTCTTGAAAAAGGAAATGGCATCAACACTTAGATAAATTTCCCCATTGACACAACACAATTAACCCTCCTCAACTTGTGTCACTCTCTTCTCCCCCACCATATGACCCCACCCTCCATAACCACACACACATATATATACACACATTCATATATATATATATATATACGTGTATGTATTATGTATATATGTATGTATGTATGTATATGTGTATATATATATCCATATATATGCCATTGAGTCATCTTTGAGTAAAATATCCACATGTTGAGTTTTGTGTGGGAAAGTTAAAAGTTTTTATCATGAATCCATTGGACAAAGGGATCTTTTGGCAATTTATATAATAAAAATTCAAGATTCTTGTTAGCCAACAAGAAAAAGGAAATCAAAATATTTTTATTTCAAGTGGATATGTATGTTGTGGGATTTTTTTTTAAGTTATTAAGAAGGGATTTCTAAAATGAAATTGTTTGCATAAAGATTACTTTCAACTATAATATGTACCAAAAAAAATGATTTTGGATTGTGAGGTAAATTTATCAAACGTGGTATAGAATGAATTCTGCACTAAAGAAAAGTGATAGCATGTTCTGCATGCAAAATAAATAACATCTTTGAAATATATATATATATATATATATATATATATATATATAAACGGCATGTAAAACAATGGTGAGATGTTTCTATGTATATATTCTAATTCAATTCAAAGATATATGCCAAATATGTTAGAGCGTC